TGTCTATATGAACAAATTTTGAAATATTATACAGTTAAATAATGTCTAATCAGTCAGTAGACCAGAATATTTTTCCCAAGGTACTGGGAACAGCTCAAAGTGTTCTATTGCCCGATGCCAACCCCCCTTAAATTCCAGCGGGTGTACTCTGTGTAAATAAAAGGCTCTAAATAAATAAATATATGTACGCAACACCTGACAGTAATATACTTTTCATTAACACTTAATTAATCAGTTGTTTCTGTTTGGTATTATCTTTATTCGATAGTAAATTAAAGGATTAAGCACGACTATATGAGGCACATGCTGTGTTATTGTACACAAAACATGGTTTCTGATTCTGTAGACATCTAAAATGACACATGTTCTACATGTATTAACAACACTCCCTTTGATCCTCTCCTCCATACTTAGGTACAATACATGAATTTGGCAGCTGTAGATGTGAAGAGGGATATGCACATTAGTGAGTCAGTGAAGGATATCCTGAATTAGGTCTCCACCAGATGAGAAGGCCTTCATCCTTTAACAACGTTCTTGATGTCCATGTGTGAATTTAAAATATTATGTTGATCCTTATATTTATAAGTAAATCAGAACATTTGATAGACATACCCATATACTGGTGCTTCACATTAACAGGCCTCAGCTTTGATATGCAAATAGGCAGCTATGAGTGCATTTTGGACATTTCATTACAAAATATTTGTCCTGTCAGTTTTACCCACACAACTAGTGTAGAAATTATTATTATTTTTTTTTTTTACATGGGGACGCTGATAAGCTCAACAGTATCCAACCGAAGTGTGTCAGTGTAATATCTGTATACATAATTATTAATTTTTTGACAAACTAATAAGTTTTGTTGGAAGCCTTTTAAACAAATACACATACCAAGACTCTTAAATACTAAGCGTGTTTCTCGTCTTCATTGCAGTGCATTGAAAAAAATGAAATAAAACTTGACACAGTATACTGTAACAATTAAAGAAGCCTAAAGTGTGAAAAATGGTACTCTGCAAATAGTAACAAATCTGATTGAACTATAAGCTGGCCTGACAGAGTACTTCCATAAAAAATATTTTTGTCATTTTGATTCATCTTTTATTTACAAGTATACCTGATCATTGAAAGTTATAAATGCACTTTTTGTATTATGCCTTAAAATTTTTTGTAAAGTTCTTTTATTCATTAATAATTTACGTATCAATTACATCATATACAATATGATTAACTATCATAGGTGAATAAAAGAGGTGGATAACTTCTGTTAAAGCAGAGTAAAAATTCCCATACATGATTATAATAGAGCCCCATCATTACTCCAGAAACCTTGACCCAGGGGCCGTGAGCTTTCACAATTTTGGAAGAAGGATTCTTGCTCAAAATAACATCATAACCATGCACTGAATTAGTCTGCTAAACACATGTACCCACGACCAGAGAAGATGATTTTCAAGGAAATAATACATTTTCAATATAGTGACTCAGGTGACCTAAAAAGTTGAACTGCATGGCCGTAGGAACCGGGGGGGGGGGGGCGTGCCCCCCCCCCCAATAATTTTGCCGATATAAAGATTACTATAGAAAACATAGATAGTATATGCTTGTGCCCCCTCAATAAAAACATCTGACGACCTTTTTTTTTTTTCTTTTTTTTTTTTTGCTTGTCAAGAAATTTTTGGTAGATGAGAGTGCCCCCTCAACTAAAAATGTATGGCTGTGCCCCCCCCAAACTGAAACTGCTTCCTACGGGCCTGTTGAAGGAAGACACTGATGGATTAAAAGCATGAAATCTTTTGATTGAATTGTGAGAAAAGGAATAATATTATTTTAATTACACAAATTACAAGATATTTAAATAAAAATAAATTAATAAGAGATAAAGGATATAGGCATGCATTATCAAAATGAAAAAAAAAAACACAAATGTATAATACATGTATATACCCAAAATTTATAACTATGAATGTTATGATGAGGATGTAAACTTCCCTGGATCTTTGTCACATGAAGATTTCTGCATGGCGCAGTGATGGACATCGCAATACAAAATATAGAAAAAAAAATTATCGTTGTGTCATTCGCAGGTCAAACAAATGCAAAAATTTACAAGTTCTACGAAATTTTCATTTTATATTTTCTCTTCTGGCACTAATTAAGATCTGTAAACTTATAAATATTAGCATTTATATCTTACTCACTCCCATCAGGGTTCATATCTAATTACATTCTGATCTAATTACACACTACCGTCTAGGGGGAGTACTTCTTGTACACTCTTTTTTAAAATCATAAATTAATAAATATCTGGTGCAAAATGACAATAGAATTAAAAATCAATATATCAACAATTAATATTCAATATGAAACAAATTTTACACAGTTTTATTTTTTATCTTTTATGATGTTATCATCAAGGAATTATTCTTTCGAACCAATAAAAAAATAACTTCTAAATCCCCGATATGCACTTTCTTACACAACCAAAAACAGATGGGCCACTCCTGCAGCTGATAATATACAAGAGGCCCATTGGGCATTAACAGACACCTGAATATGAAGGTACTGGTACTCTGGACCCATGACTTTTGTAAATTGGTAGAGGATTTTTGTTCATTATCAAATTGCATAAAGTTTTTCTTTTCAAAGCTGAAGATTAAACAAAGGTTTTGAAAAAATATAATGATTTTCAATATCTGATCAAATTAGCCTCATCCTGGGGCCTGGCTGTGCCTTGGGGATACAAATTCCCGCAGAGAATGGAAAAAAGGACTCATAGCTAATTGTCATCGTGCACTTATAGTTTGCTTCCTAAATAACAACGATTTTAAAAAGTGTAATGAAAATTCAATATATGGCGAAATTAGCAAAATTTTTACCTTTAGGCCTGAACCTTAACTAAGGGGACAATAATTTTATGATTTTGCTAGAGGCCTTACTGATTATTAAAATCATGCAAACAGGTATCCATGAGTGATGAAGAATTTCTAAAGTGTAATTTTCTCTGAGGACTGAACCCTGGATCCAGGTGACATGAATGTTCAACTCTTTCTAGAGTGCTAACTGCTAATTATAATTCTGCAACTTTTTTTCATGCTAGATCTCCATCAGTATGGAAGAAAAAATTCAAAGGGAATGTATTTTATGTGTCACATGACATGGTCATATACAAGAGGCCCATGGGCCACATTGCTCAGCTGAGCACATTGTCAAGAAAAAAGCAGAAATCAGTTTGGCATTGAAAATATTAAATATATAAGCAATCGCAAATAGGAGGGGGCATGATTTATTCACACTTGAATCTACACTACCTGAGGATGCTTTTATATTTCTTTGACTAATCATGGCTTTTTCTCTCTCGATATTTGATCTTCTTATGTGGCCCTGCTGTACCTCCAGGGAACATGATTACCTTATCTAAGGATGCTTCTGAATTAATATGACTAATCATGAATTTTTATTCTTGGGCAGAAGATTTATCCTATGTATTCTCATGTAAAACTTTGACCATTACTTATGGCCCCTCCCTACCCCTGTGAGTCATGATTTGAACAATCTTGAATGTAAACTACCTGAGGATGCTTCCATATAAATGTGTCTAATCATTGTTTTGCTTTTCCTAAAAAGAAGATTTTTCTAGTAAATCTACATAAAAATTTGATCACGCATTGTGGCCCCTCCCAACCCCAGAGGTCATGTTTAACAAATTTGAATCTACACTACCTGAGGATGCCTCCATATAAATATCACCAATATGGCTTTACTGTTCTTGAGAAAAAGATTTTTAAAAATTTTTCCAATGTTTTCCTATGTTGTCGACAGATTTTTCCAGTATTTCCCGATCATGACAAGGAGCACACGGCGGGTGTGACTGGTCGACAGGGGATGCTCACTCCTCCATGGCACCTGATCCCACATCTGATGTTTTTGGAGGTCCGTGTTTGCACTGCTCCTGATTTGTATAGTTTTAAAGGACTCTGAGCTTGAACACTGTCTCTCCACACTTCATCTATGTAAAACTTTGATCGCCCATTGTGGCCCCACCCTAGCCCCAGGGGTCATGATTTGAACAAACTTGAATCTACACTACCTGAGGATGGATGTTTCCATGTAAATATGCCCAATCTTGGCTTTACTGTTTTTGAGAAGAAGATTTTTCCTATATATTTCTATGTAAAACTTTGTTCCCTAATTGTGACCCCACTCTAGCCCCAGGGGTCATGATTTGAACAAATTTGAATCTACATTACCTGAGGATGCTTCCATATAAATATCACTAATCATGGTTTTACTGTTCTTGAGAAGAAGATTTTAAAAGATTTAAGATGTAAGCGGGTTATGTAATTTTATTCTGCAATATTGCTGCAATGTTTATTCCTGTTCTATATCTTTACAAATAATCAAAGTAGGATTTATTAGATGAAATATTGTATTATTGATATGTACACCATTGTAAGTTTCATTGATGGGAACAGCCACTGCTCAAGAAATCTGTACAGGTGATATGCTTAGTGTTGTTTACTGTCTGATAAATTGCAATAAGAAATAAAGGAAATAATGATGTAAATATTTATATTTGAATGAACATAATGAGGGAGAATATAATCATGAAAAAAGTTTTTTTTTCTGTTGATTTAAATGCCTTTAAGTAAAGAGGTAATTTTTCAAAGGTATAATTTGCAATACATGACCAACATAGCCATTAAAGCCTAGGGAACATGAATTCTGATGGTTCTTGACTTGACAACACCCCTCAAGACAGGAAAGGACATGAAATTCTAAGTATTCTCCTCATAAATACCATCCATAAATGCTACATACCAAATTTGGAAGAAATTGGTTCAACCATTTCAGAAAAGAAGCTGAAAATGTTCAAAGGTTTGTAAATGATGAACAACAACTGCAAGAACTCAACAGTCACCTGAATGACCCAGAAGTCCTAACAAACACTTTTATGCATAGTATTATTCTTTTTATTTCTATTTGCCAGTGTCTTTACAAAAATATCTGCAATTATAAATCATACACCTTTAAATAAAATGGACATTTTCAAAATACATAAAAAATGAAACTGCTTAAAACAGTGAGAAAAATAAACATAGCACCTTACAATATATCACTTAAATTGGTTGATTATGAGCTGAAAAGTAGGCAAATAAAAATGCATATAAAATATACCTCTACATGACATGTTATTTCCTAAATATTGATAAAGCTTCCTGATACAACTTTGTCTTGTGTAGCATTTTTAAACCACTCTAAATATAACTTTGTCGCTTAAAATTATAACATAAATAACATAATACAAATTGCACACACTTGAAGCACTTAACCACATCAACATCATTGATTGAAACTATGATATACATGTAATTGGAATGTTCTTAAGTGCTTTAGGTCAAGGTTGTTCAAATTCCATTTCTTCAGTTGACTTGGAAAAGGGGTTGTTTAGAAAGGCTTGGTTCAAAACTCACAAATTTATCATTATTTTTGTGCAAGAACCTAAAAATCTCCACATCGATTCAAATCATATTTATTTTTTAATACATTCCGATATTTGTATTGACATAATAAATATAAACTACAGGTTAAATTTGTGTGTACATGCATTTTGAAGTACTTGCTGCTAAATACTGTTTAAAATTAAAAAAAAATGGATATGTGACACTACTTGCTATAAAAAGTTCTTGAATAATAAATAAAAATTAATGGGCTATTAATAATTACACAATCCTAACTCTGCGCATTCAAGTGTAACTAAAATATATTGCAATACATTATTTATAAGCAAGGCAAAGTCCCACACTACATGACCAGTGTGCTCCCCTAGAAGCAAAACCTATGCAAGTTTGGTCTGAATAGGATTTAAAGTTACTTGAAATGTACCTGCTTCAAAAGCATTCACTGTTCAATCACCTGGAAAATGTTGGTCAAATGCAGCATACAAAGCAGGTCTGGTAGTGTGCATCCTTATAGATGCATCATCCATGCACAAGTGCCAAGTGCCCCAGGTGGGCTAATAGTTACTTTGGAATGGACTTGCTCCAAAAATGTAGGTTAGATGCAGCATCCAAAGGGTCTGGTACTGTGAATGCATCATCCATGGATGTTAAGTCACCAAAAGGTTTATTTTGAGAATGGACATGTTTTTAAACTTTAAGCTAGTCAATCATCCTAAAAATGTAGGTCTGATACAGCATCTGAAGGATGTCTTGTAGTGTGTATCCCTAGATATATCATCAATTCATGTTTGTTCACTATAAGGCTTAGAGTTACTTGGGAATGAGATTGCTATAAAACATTTTAAATTAAACTGGTCACTAATCTAAAAAATGTAGGTCATATCCAGGCTCTGAAGCAACTCTGTACTGTGCAATCCTAGATGCATCATCCATGCAAGTTTTGTCCCCATACCTTTTAATTACTTTGGTATCCATGGACATTTTATTAAACACTGTTGACAGAACATCAAAAGAAACATACTAGCAATCTAAACATTGTTATTTTTTACCAAAATAATTCATCTGCGCCGAAACATACAATTAAAATGTATGCTGCAATATGGCAAATTAAGAGGTATTGGGCACTGCGAAAAAATAAACTTTGTAATAATACCTAGACCAAACCAGATGGTGAACTTTTTTGAAATTTCACAGTTTGGTGACTTTTTACAATAACTTTCCTGTATTTGACTGAAAACAAAATCCCTAGGGTAGAAATACCAAAGAATATGGGGAAAATGTGATAATTTGGCACTTTTCCAACAAAATCCCATAGAGTCCAATAGTAAAATTTGACATCGGGATGGTAAACATTTGATATATTTATCTTAAAATAATTAATATAATAGTAAAAATTCATTCAAGAAAATTTATCAAAATATCTAGGGTAGAAATAATTAGACTCTGCCTCGTTAAGTACTGGTGCACCATGCAGTGTCAAATTTACATTTTTCAGACTACACAAATGGAATGATTTTGCAAGATATTTAAGAAAAAAATTGATTTTGGTGTTATGTAAATTATAATAAATGTGACTCTGAATTATTGAACTCTTTGTATGTTTCACTTTCACATACGACAAAGAACATTGTTCATCTCTGAGAAACATTATTTGGGCGTAGAAGTGTCTTTTAAAAACTTGGTATCACTGAGGTCAAGTTCTTTGTTATACAAAGAATTAGGGGAGACGATTGCTTCCCAATCTGTGGACTTTGGTTCTTCACTGTATGAAGTATTGCACTGCAAGACTTGATCACACTCACTGTCAATATCAGTACTCGCTAAAGTCCTGTGATTTGGCAGAGAGAGTTTGGTATCCCCAAATGTGCTAGAAATTTCCACATCACTTGTACTTTCTTGAAAATTCAGCTTGTCCAAAATGGTGGTAACCACATCAACAGAAGTATCAATGTCACTCAGAGACTCCCCAATGCTTGAAGTAGTCACAGACAACATATCAGAAGATTTAGACAAAGAATTTTCACTATAACTCCTGTCTCTTCCAAATTCTGGTTTTGTTTTTTCCACTATATTTTCAATCACAAATTTTTTAGCCTGTGAGAGTCCATTTGACGTGTCTTTGTTTTGTTCAGTGATGGTATCCAATGATGTTCTAGACTTGTTTTCAAATTGTACTGAATTTTCTGAAGCTCTTCCTTCTCTCACGGCATAATAATATTCTATAGGATCTCCCTGTAATTCTGGGGGTAATGGTCCACCATGCTCCAAATGAACCAGGAGACTCTCTGTCCAGATGCTTACTCTATCAAAGCTGGGTCTGTCAAGTTAACAAGTACCGGTACATTCATATTCACTTTAAAATACTTTCTACATGCACAAAGTTTATTTAAATAAAGAAACTTTATGATACATTGAACAATCCTTATAATACATGTATCATTTTTACTAAATTTTATCCCTTTACAAGAGGCCAAAGGGCCTTAATGGTCACCTGAGTATAAAACTATAAAGGATCCACAGATGTATAAAATAAAACAAAATAAACTAAAAGATGAAGCTATCTTGCCCAAAAGTGAGAGAAAAAGGATGATCTAGGATCAACAAAATAATTAGTCTAGTACTAAGTAACAAATCATTTACTTGGCTGAACTTGTCCCCATTTGTCACTATCACTCTGTGAACTTAACAATTAAATAGTGCTCGAGCACTATTACTAATCCCATCTCATTCCCTCTCAAATTTTCCTCTCTTGGTCTTTGAAGAACATTTGATGTACAAAGATACGGTATATTTGTCTCATTTTCATTTATCTATTATAAACATTAAAAATGTCTACCTGACCTTTAAGATTATGAGAGTACTTTTTGTATTATATATCATGAAAATTCTTGTGTAATTCTCTTATTCAACTGACCTTTCAATTACTGTAATTAAATGTATCATTATTTACAGTGATTAATTATCAGATTTATTATCATAGGTGAATAGCAAAGGGGAATACCTTCTCTCAGTAAGAGCTCTGCACAGCACCAGAACACTTGAACTAGTCCAAAATTTCAAAAATCTAGTAAAAATACCCTTCTTACGACAACTTGCCTATTAGATGCCCAGAGCAGAGAAGAAGATTTCCAATGAAATAACGCATTTCATTACAGATTCAACACAGCCCTACCATGACACCAAAAAAAAAAAAAGGCCAAAGGACATGAATTTCACAATTTTGGAAGAGGCACTCTTGCACATCATAACTATGCACTTCATTTGTTTGCTTAAAACCCAAGAACAGAGAAAAGGATTTTCAAAGAAATAATGCATTTTTCACTACATAATCAATAGAGTTCCCCCTTCCCTCTTCAGGACCCCTGACCCTGGGACCTTGAAATTCCCAAAATTGGAAGAAGTACCCTTGCTCATCATAACCATGCACCTAGTTTATCTGCTTAATATACAGGGGAAGAGAGTACATTTTTTAAAGAATTAATGCATTTTCACTATATGGTCATTAGAGCCCCACCCTAACTCCAGAATCCCTGACCCTTGGGCCATGAATTTCACAATTTTGGTAAAGGGCTTAATGCTTATTACAGTCAGCCAAAGTTTGTCTGCTTGATGTCCATGAGTAAAGAAGATTTTTAAAGATAGCACTAATTTTTATGGTTTTAGCCCCATCTCTAAAGCCCCAGGGAGGCAGGGACCATGAAATTCACAATTATTGATGCCCTTTGCAAAAATTGGTTGAAATTGGTTCAGTAGTTCCAGAGAAGAAACTGAAAATGTTCAAAAGTTTACAGGCGTCGGACGACACACCAATGATGACAGAACAAAACAAATAGCAATAGGTCACCTAAGTGACTCAGGTGACCTTAAAATGCAATACGCAAGTTTCGAGATTATCTCCCTTGGTGCGCTCTTTCGTTATGGAGGGGAGTTTTGTTTCCGCGTAAGCAGGCAGGTGGGACAGTTATTTATATTGGATACATTACATCATCGATATACCGGTCTATCGTAACTGATTGTCGAGATATACTTATTACTGAGTTAAATTAAAGGCATCAATTTTTTCTACAAAAAAAAAAAACGGAACAAAAGAAAATAAAAATCGGAACAAAAGAAAATATCAGTGGATAAAACATCCAATGAGGGAATAAATCTATATGGAATTTCTAATAGGCCTAAATTCACACGCATCTGATCATAGTACGTCGGCATTCTGAATGACTCCTTTCCTTATTTCAACTTCAAACAGCCCAAGAACTTTTTAGAAAAGGTTTGTACAATCAAAGAATTATTTTTTTTTAATAAAGACCATGACGGTTCTTTCATTTTCAAGTATCCTAACTGAAAATAAATTTTGTAAATATGTATAGAAGAGCTTTACAAAATTAACAAAATGATCACTCCTTATCATTCTCATCTTTTTATAACACCAAATGAATTTTAAAAGCCATAGCAATCGTTCTTTTATTTATGCAAGTTTTATACACTAACAACCTTTCCCACTTCCATGCTGATATAGATACTTTTTGCGCCTCTATCGTAGGAGAGTTACAATCTCGAAACTCGCGTATTGCAACTTTACATTTTCACAAATCCATATGTAAAGACAGAGAACAAAATATATCATGTTTCTCAACTAGGGCTGGGACGATATATCGAGATATCGATAGTATTGATTCAATGTGATGATGATACGCATATCGATACGTATGAAGAAATATTGACATATCGCCCAAAAAATTCTGACTTATGTTTTTCATTGTTTACTTACCATTTTGGGTTTAATTTATAAAATAAATATGCTTTATATAAATATAAATATGAAATACATAATAGTTAAGACCACTTGTGCAAAATAATTAAAGTTTTACAACAGATATAAAACTTCTTCGAATAAATTATTCTTATTTGTGAAGAAACGTTTTGTTCATTTCAATATAAAAAAAAAGAATTTATTACCAATTAAACATATCGTGATACATATCGTATCGTAGCTCAAATATCGGGATACATATCGATATAGAAAAAGTTGTATCGTCCCACCCCTATTCTCAACCAAAAGCAAATTCTCTTGAAACCAAGTTGTGCATGACAATAATAAAATGTCAGAACTTCAAATGATTTTTATACAAATTATCTTCTATAAAATTACCTGTTTTCTGGAGTTATTTGACAGCACATTGTGGCAATTTTGAAGAATGATACTGGAAAATCTTTTTCTGAGCAGAATTTTTGGAAGAATTTTGTGACATCCAATTCAAAAGTTATTGTTCTGGGTAAAATGTCAGGATCTGCTTCAACTCTGGCAAGAATCTAAAACATAAAAAAAACAAACTAAACTAAAAACTAAATTAGATGTGTCAGTGTGATGTAAATGCCCCAACTACATTCATGTTTTAAATATTTTGTGGTAGTTCAGGTTCCATACACAATTTCGATCCCAATTCAAAATACCCACTATATTTAAGAGGCACCCACTAAGATTTTTTTTTATTTACCTACTTTGCTGTAACTATGAAACAAAAAGATTTTTTTTTTAATTCACCAACTTTGCTGTATTTCAAAATACTCTGCAATGCAAACTTAAGAAAGTTACTCTATGATGGTAAGAGATACTGACCTCACACACAACAATGCCATATGAGAAAAGATCTACTTTTTCATCGTAACTTTTGCCCTTTAGCATCTCAGGAGCCATCCAGTACGGACTGCCCACCACTGTGTAGCGTTTCTTGCGTTGATAACGACGCTTGCTTTTTCCTGCTTTGATCTGATAGGGATATTGATACTGATCTGGTAAAATTCTTGCCAATCCAAAATCAGCAACAACCACAGTCATATCCTTCAGAACAAAAAAAAAAAAAAAAAAATGAAACGTAGAAGGATTGCAACTGATTTGTTATTTCTCTTAGACAACATCTATTTTTATAATGATTTTTTACTAGCTCTTCACCTTGGTTTCATTTGCCTCTCTGTATAATTAAATGTTACAGGATTACATACTAGGGGTGATCAAAAAGTTCGCAAACTATCTCCATATTTACAAAACCACAATTCAGATCTGAATGAAATTTGGCACACATATAGTCATACACATGTTCTATAAATAACAGATGTTAAATAATGTTCTGCTCCGTTTTTGTGATGTCATAAAGTGAAAATGACGTCAATATGTAGGTGACTTGTGACAAAAAATGGTTGACTTAGTCGTACTCGAGAAACGAATGGTTATTAAGTTTAACGTTATATCTTGGAAATTCCTTTGCAGTAGAATATGATAATTTGTACAAGGTTTATGAAGACAAAAGACTTACCAGAAGTCCAATCATTAATTATATTGATTATTTTAGTGAAGGCAGGGAGATGGTTAAATATAATGTTTGTTCTGTTGCCCAAAGAAAGCAAGCCAGGGAAAAGATGTGTCCTTAGTTGAGCAATTTGTTATGATACATCGCCAAGTTACAATTAGAAAATTAGTTGAATATCTTTATTATTAAATCCCTGAAATATCATTTACGTTAGACTTTTAACATATGACATATGATAAAAAGAAGGTGCCCATACTTTATCCACATTGGATAAACTACGCTCCCGAGACAGAGGACTCGGGTTGTGATGGTCACCATGTTAATTCTGGGAAGGGATATCCTTATCCACCTATCCTATTGCTGAGATTTGGCCATTTCTGACAGATGGACTGTTCTTGTTATAAAAAATAACTTGCATGGTAAGAAATACAAGACTTGGAAAAATTTTTAGCTTCTGTGAACAGACTGCTATGGAACATGTCACATAACCGCCTTGATCACGTGATTCGTGCATGTGCAAAACAAGGGCAGATGTGCATTAAAATTGGAGAGGATCACTTTAAAATATAATAAACACTGAAACCTTATTTTAATTCTTTTAAGGAAGTAATTCAATGAGTTCGCAAACTTTTTGATCACCCCTCGTAATAAGAATAAGTGAGGACAGGAATTTCATAAATTCCCTCAAATGAACAACCTATGACTTCAAATGTTTTGATCTAGGCTTTTTGGGGCTTATATGGTTTGGATGTCTGAACTTAAAAAGTTCATAGGCAAAGAGAAACAGTAATTTTTTTTTACTACATACAATGCAAAAAATTGGATTCATGCATTTATACAAGCCCCCCCAAACTTACATTTTTAACAAAACAGTTGTTGGTGTTCAAGTCTCTGTGTATGATTCCAAGGGAATGTAGATATTCCTGGAAAGAAATTTGTTTGCTTTTTTAATACAAACATGAATTCATAATTTTATCACAGTGATAATAATAAATTCATACATGGCAATAATTATGTTAGAATGATTGACATAATCTTGTCATTAATGATTTATGATGATAGAAATGATAACTGGTGTGTTGAAATAAGAGGCCCATGGGCCTTGACGCTCACCAGAGTATCATGAGTTTCTCAGGCTATGACCAGTTTGGCCCTTCCCAAAACTGGAAATCTGGACTCAGATGACAAACATTTTACTATTTGTTGAGGACTCTCTAATCATTATCATAATCAAGCAGTTGTCTCCTAGAAATTCTGGAGTAAAGATGTTAAGGTACACTGTATAATAAATTTTAATAACTGATAAAGTTAGCCCCACCCCAGGGTATGAAGAATGATCCCTGTACCATAGGGACCTACATCAGATTCCACTGAATTTTTCTCCTTTACTTCTTATAAAAACCCCATAGGCATTAACAATCCATTAACATAAAACCTTTTTTTTAAAGCCATCCATTTGAAAGATTTCTTAAGAAACCCCTTTATCAAGTATAATGGCAAAGTCCATGTTTTGATATGGGAAACCCCAAATATCTTTCCAATTGAAATGAAAAACAGGAGGTGCAAATTGGCACTATGTAATAAAGATTCTGTGGAAATTTTATTAAAATTAAGGAAGGAGGAATGTAATGGTTTAAGCCGTGGATATTGGCCTGGGTAGCTAAGTCAGTAGAGCACCTGACTAGTGATGCAGGGGTCCTGGGTTTGATTCCTGGTCCAGTCATACATTTTCTCCTTTCCTGTTACACATGTATCAGAAGTTTTGTATCTATGCTTTCAACATTAAAAGCTTTTTTTTTAATGAAATTTTACTTTTATGTGTACTAAATGTATGTAGCAACTTACTAAGAAATGTAAATGACACCATAGTCGGTAGAGCGCTTGCTCCGTGATCGGGAGGTCGTGAGTTCGAATCTCGGCCGCGACTGACCTAAGTCGATAAAAAATGGGTAGCAACTGTTCCTTCGCCATGCGCTCGGCATTTTGAAGTGAAAGTTGTGGTTCCTTCGGATGAAACCTTAAAAAACCGAGGCCTCGTGTCACGGCAGGCATTGGCACGATAAAGATCCCTCACTGCTCAATGGCCCCAAGTGCCGAGTAAAGGTCAAAATTTGAAGCCCTTCACCGGTATATGGTGACGTCTCTATATGAGTGAAAAATTCTTGAATGAGATGTAAAACAACATACAATCAATCAATCAATAAATGACACCGCCCCCTTTCAAACACACATATACAAACTGAAGGATACACTCTAAATACATGTAGGTACACAGAAAACAAGATGTGCTGCTGGAATAGGTGGCATGTTTTTGAAGTCAAATATATTTTTGTATTGTTTACTTTTGAAAAACAAATGAACTGTTCTATACATTAATGCATTTTGGATTTTTTAAAAAGATATTATAAAACATTTGAATGGGAAGTTTACACATCAGCAGTCTCCTCTCACACAATATACAGTTATTGCATCATCATGAGGGAAATATGAAGATTTATTCAGTCAAGAAAAATCATATTCCCCAAGGGCTTCACCCGAGGGGAATATGACATTTCTTGGCTGAATAAATCTTCATGTTTCCCGAACATTCAGGCAATAAATTGTTTATGACACTGAAACATGCAAAAACTTTAAAAATAAATACAAACTTTCAAATTCGGCCCCACTCTTAAAATTTCACTTTCAGTTTTAATGTAAAGTTACTGGACACATCACACTCTGATGAAACAATCAGCAATTTTGTGATGTAGCCCAGGCTATACTCTTAGTATAGAGATTCGTTCAACAAACGATAACTACTGCGGGAAAATGCACTAGGTCTCCAAAGAGATTGAATTTGATGAAAAGCATGACAACAACATGGAAATATGAAGATTTATGGCCCTATCATGTGATAATCTAGAACCAATCAGATAACATGTTGTATAGAATAATTATAATGAGTTATAATAACAAGAGGCCCAAGGGCCTTAACGGTCACCTGAGTATAATACAACAATTTAGAGGATCCATAGAGTATAAAATGAACTGAAAGGTGAAGCTTTGTTGCCCAAAAGCAAGAAAAATAGGGTGATCAGGATTAACAAAATAATTAGTCTAGTATTCATTAACAGTTCATAAATTAGGTTCTAATCTGTTCCCCATTTATCACTCTCACCAGACAGTATATTAAGAAACTATCAGTGCTTCTGTACTCTTTTAATTCCTTGTGGAAATCTCTTACATTGGCCTGAGTAAGACTCTTGGTCTTTGATGAACATTTAAGGTACTGGTATTCCATCCCTAATAGCCTCAGATTCAATGAATTTGAATACATAACAGATGTGTACGGGTGGAATACTCAGTATATTTAGACATAATCTCCATTTATTACTATTAGCATGTAAGAATGGAAGTGTCCTAATTTATGACTTGACCTTTGTTGAAGAGTTATCTCCCTCTTTTTTTAAGTAATAAAAATCAATTTTAAAAAAATATACGGTAAAAAAATTGTTTTCAATTGTCATTCTATTTCTAATGATTTAATGGATCTTTCCACCACAGTAGTTATTGATATTCTTATTATCTGAATTTTTATTTTTAAAAAATCACTTGTCTCCATAGACTTCAATGCAATTTCTATTAATTAAATACTGCTTAGTTAATTACGTTTTTGAAACTTTCACTTGGTAAATCCTTTTCTACTGTAAAGTTCTTTGAATTAATATCAGAGTATTATATACGTGATTGATATTTAAGGATAGATAATTAGTTCCTATTAGGGATTGAAAACCTTAATAAGACAAGTCTACCTGATCATTAAAACTATGAAAGTACTTTTTGTATTATACAATAAAAATTCTTGCATAATTCTCTTATTCTATTAACCTTTCAAGTACATTATTTACAGTGATTAATTATCACAAATAAATGGCAAAGGGGAATAACTCCTCTCAGTAGAATACAAATTAATAGAGCCCTGGCCTGGACTAGAACACTTGACCAAATGGTCTTGATGTTCAAAAATCTGGTAAAAATACCCTTCCTTATTAAAACTTTTACTCTTTTTGCCTCTGATATGCCCAGGTGCAGAGAAGATTTTTAAAGCATTAATGCATTTTCACTATATAATAAATAGAGTCCCGCCCTAACATCAGAACCTCTGATCCAGGGGTCATGAAATTCACAAATTTGGAAAAGGCATCCTTGCTTATCATAACCATGTATTTGTTTAAATAATACCCAGGAGAATAGAAGAAGCTTTTCAAAGAAATAATGCACTTTCACTATATGATCTATATAGCCCCGCCCTAGCACCAGAACCCCTGACCCAGGGGCCATGAATTTCACAATTTTGGTAGAGTCACTCTAGCTCACCATAACTATGTATTCGATTTGTTTCAATAATACCCAGGAGTAGAGAAGAAGATTTTCAAAGAAATAATGCACTTTCACTATATGATCTATATAGCCCCGCCCTAGCACCAGAACCCCTCACCCTGGGGCTATGAATTTCACAATTTTGGTAGAGTTACTCTTGCTTATCATAACTATTTATTCAATTTGTTCCAATAATACCCAGGAGTAGAGAAGAAGATTTTCAAAGAAATAATGCACTTTCACTATATCTTCTATATAGCCCCGCCCTAACACCAGAACCCCTGACCCTGGGGCCATGAATTTCACAATTTTGGTAGAGTCACCCTTGTTCATCATAACTATGTATTCAATTTGTTTCAATAATACCCAGGAGTAGAGAAGAAGATTTTCAAAGAAATAATGCACTTTCACAATATGATCTATATAGCCCCGCCCTAGCACCAGAACCCCTGACCCTGGGGCCATGAATTTCACAATTTTGGTAGAGGGCTCAATGCTTATTACAATCATGCCAACAGTTTGACTGCTTGATGTCCAGGAGTAAAGAAGAAGATTTTTAAAGATTGCATTAATTTTGATGGTTTTGGCCCCACCCCTCAGGCCCCAGGGGGGCAGGGGCCACGAATTTCACAAATTTTGTTCCCCTTCACCCATAGATGCTATATGCCAAAATTGGTTGAAATTGGTTCACTGGTTCCAGAGAAGAAGCTGAAAATGTTCAAAAGTTTACGACCGACGAACGATGAAAAGAGATAGCAATAGGTCACCTGAGTGACTCAGGTGACCTAATAAGCTGTAATAACACCCCACTCTCTCAGTGAAGCATATGTTACACTCTTGTACAACAACAATCAATGAAATAGGTTCTTACAAATAGGAATTCAGGGTTGCTCAACATAATTTGAAAATCACTTTAACAAATTTTTCAATTAAAAATATTTTGCTTTTCTATTTTTTAAAGTTCCATTTCCATTTCATTGTTTTATCAACAATCACTCATACAAATGATTATTGATATGAGTTAAGGTGGAAATACTATGAGAATCTAATAAGAATGCAAACATTACAACATACCATTCCTTGTGAAATGCCCTGGGCAAACTCTGCTCTTTGTTTCCAGGATAAGGAAACTGAGAGGTCTTTCAATAGATTTCCAAGAGTACCACCAGAGACATACTCTGTGAAAAAAAAATCACAGATAAGTGTATTGTATGTGTGGGTGCATGATTATTATGAATCTAACAAAATTAGATAGTTAATATCTAGAATAACAAGAGGTCCAAGGGCCTAAATACTCACCTGAGTCTTTTTGGCTTTGTTATTCTTCAAAAGATTATTTTTAAAAGATTTTCCCCTTTATTTCCATGAAAAATCTGACAGCATATTGTGATCCTATCCTTGTCCAAAGGGGTCACAACTGAACTAACCTTGAATCCAACTTTGAGCTCTTACTGTGACCCCATTCTAATCACTTTAGGACATGATGTGTACATAGTTGAATATTTGATTGCGATATCAAAATGTCATAAACATCTATAAGATGTTATGAAATCTTTATAGAAGAGCAGTGTATCTCTCATTAAATGGGTTTCCAGAAATAAAATGAAGGTAAACCCTAAAAATTTTCAAGCTAATGCAATTGGGTCTAAAACAAAAGAACAACAAATATCTTTTAACTTTTGAAAAAAATATGTGTTATTTATTAAAAAAATCATGATATAACGGTATATCAATAAATTTGTATGTTTTGTATGCTGGAAATTCACATTTTTTTAACAAGAAAATCAAAATTTGGCCATAAAGGGCTTCTTTGCAAAGACTTTTGCACAAATCTATAATAAAATTGTAAGAAAAGTACAGTAAATTTGCAATTCTGTATTTCAATTTGTATGTGATTATATCCATGATTTATGATTGGATACCTTAACACAGATGTTCATGGGAATTTTTTATTCAGATGATACAGCTGGACTTTCAATCTATTATACAGCTCCACACATATTCTATATAAAACTAAAGTGTAACAATGCAGTTTTCAACAAATGTATCTTGAGTAACATGACTTACCATTTATGAATAAACATACAAAAGTTTTCCTTCAGGCTTGATAAAAACATGCCATGTTTGACACACTTTTAGACCACCTTAAAACTATAGAAGCTCTTGATTTAAACTCTACTGATAGACTGCAGTCTATGTAAGCTTTTTCCTAAAAGGCAATTGTGTCTGTGAAGGTGCATCCAAGTAAAGAACAAATCTTAACTTTCAAGTTTCACTTTGCTGAATTTTTCTCTTGTAACATCATTTTTATGGTAATTAGTATATTTAACACATAGGTTTCTGATGTCATTTTTGGAGTTAAAGTACTCATTGCTTATCATAATCATGCCAACAGTTTGACTGTATGATGTCTAGGAGTATTTAAAGAGTTTTGAAAATTGCATTAACTTTGATGGTTTTTGCCCATCAAGCTCCAGGCAGACAGAAACCATGAAATTTAAAATCTTTACTCATAGATTCTATGTAATGCCTATTAGTCTTAAATTTTTTAACATTTTCATCTTAATTCTTCTCTGGAAATAGTGACCCTTTTTCAGTGAATGTTGCACAACGACAGAAAAAACAGATAGCAATGGGTCACCTGAGTGACTCAGATGACCTAAAAAGTCACAGGCACAAAAATTCCTTGCATAATCAACTTTGTTTAATTGACCTAATATAACATTCAAGACATTTTTAATATCCTAATTCTAACTCTTTTATTGGAACAATAGTTTTCATGAAGAAGACAATGGTCAAAATTACCTGTAATCAGATTGAGCTTTTTGTCCTTATACAGAACTCCCATAAATTGCAGTACATGTGGATGATCAACACTCCGTAACACCGAAACCTGTAAAATGTTATCATCATTGGGTGATATTCAGACTTATGGCCATTGAGCAGTGAGGGATCTTTTTCGTGCCAGCACCTACTGCGACACAGTACCTCAGTTTATATGGTCTCATCAGATGGACCAGTCTCCACATTTCTCAGTGGGATTCGAACCCTTGTTGTAAGGATCAACTCCTTACTCTGCAACTACAGAGTAAACACTCTAACCACTGTGCCACAAGGGTGACCAAATCATGGCCCTGCTGTTCTTTAAAAGAAGATTTTTCCTACATATTCCTATATTAAATTTTGATCTTCTGTTGTGGTTCCACTCTAACCCTCAGGGGTCATGATATGAACAAACTTGAATCTTCACTACCTGAGGATGCTTCTATATAAATATGACTAGTCATGGCTTTGCTGTCTTTGAGTAGAAGAATTCATACATACTTTTTTCTGCATGGTATCAATTAACGCTATGTGCACGGACAAAGATTTTGACTTACAATGGCTTTGCTGTTTTTGATAAGATTTTCCTATGTATTCTTTGTAAAACCTTGATCCCTTTTTGTGGTCCCACCCTACCCCCAGGGCTAATGAATTGAACAAACTTAAATCTATACTATGTCAGTTTCATCTTTTCTGGCCCACTTTTTCTTGAATTTTTTTTTAAAATATGGCATTAATTTTTACTAATCTTTAATAGGGTGTGGCTTTCATTTGAACAAGCTTAAATACCTTTACCCAAGGATGCTTTCTGGCAAGTTAAATTGAAATTGACCAGTGGTTCTTGAGGAGAAGTCAAAAAGTTTACAGATGGATAGACAGACAAAAATGTGATCAGAAAAGTTCACGAGGTTTCACCTCAGGTGAGCTAAAAACACATATAGGAATTTGTGATAAGTGTTGGAACTGTCTGCACCCTAATATTTAAAAAAAAAACATTTGGGCTAAATATGAGGCATTTGCTCATTTACCACATCAACAAATCCTCAAAAAATTACAGTAATAAACAACCTGCAAAATCATTTAAATTCCCTTCCCAATAATATAGTATTAAATGATTTACCTCTTTGAGGAAGCTTTTTTGAACTTCTTCATCAAATCTATACATTTCTTTTAGCACCATTACCTCCCCTGTTATTCTATGAGTCACTTTAACAGCCTGTCCAAAGAAACCTAAAGAAACAGTCAAAAGGCAAATACCTTACAGTGAACATTTTATGTCTGTTTCACCAATTCCCTATAGAACTGCCTAAAATTTGACATTAGAGAAGTTAATTAACATCAAAAACATCAAGGATATATCATGTACAGAGTATAAACCTTTTATAAGGCAAAATTAACACAAGATTTCATTACTTTAAATGCCACAGCCTTTACTTTATAAGTCAAACTAAACCCAAAGCACTTTCATGGAACCTCACTGCTGTTTTACAAACATATATTACACAATGCCCATTGATACCTTTGCCAAGCACTTCCCCCTGGATAAGGTCAGTGGCTCTGAAAACTCTGTGTGATGTTGGCTGAGTCTTGAAGGAGGAGGCTCGAGTGAGATCAACACTTTTTGTGCGGGAAGGCATCGGCGAGGGTGACTTACTCCTTCTTCTGGATGTGTTTTTACTGAAGACAACATATAAGCACTCTATTATTCAAAAATTCATAAAATTTATTATCGGCCACAGAAGTGATTGTGTTACAAAGTGCACATGGGAAAATGAGGTGTTATTTTTTGTTACAATAGAATAAGTCCTTATTGATAACAAGTCTAAAATGTGTGAATAAAGTTTTGCGACCGATTTGATGCTTTGCAACAATGTTAGCTAGCCACTTTAAGTGTTATTTATTTAATATACTAATGGAAAAACATGAGGCCCTAGGCACAATGCTCACATTAAGCCAAACCCTTTAAAATTCATACAATCTTCAAAAACTTTCTCTGCTTTAAAAAAAATATAAAACACAATTATAGAGAGCAGTTTTAGTTCTCTGCTAAAATTATAAAATTCATATCCCATGGGTCCAAAATTCAGGCCCCAGGGTGGGACTAGGTTGATCATACTTTGAAAAAATACATTACACCACTTTCCTCATTGACATCTAGCAGACAAACTATTGATTGTGTTTACTGCATGAATTATAATAAACACCAAATCCTCTGATTTTGAATTTTAGGGTTCAGTCCCAATGATAGGCCTAAACTGGTCAATTATTGAAATGATACTTTGAAAAATCTTCTTCATTCCTTCTTGACCTCTAACAGAAAAATTATTTACATGATTATAATAAAAAGTTACCCGTCTACCAAAATTGTGAAATGCCTAAGGTTGGGTCTAAATACTATAAACATACTTCTTTCAGTGGTAGTCATATCTTTGCACCTTTTTGCTGCTTCTTGTCCACTAATTCATGTACATGCTTATAATGATTAAAACTAATACATTATGTTCTAAAGACTAAAGTGTGCTAATGAATGATTGCACTTATCAGTTGAAGAGGATGATTGCATTAAATTTTGAGGGCACTAATTAATGTACTTTTACAGTAAGTCTCACTGAAAGTTCATTTATTTTTCAGTGTACCAATAAAAAATATCCTTACACCTGAATATTTAGCAAGTAAACTGTATGCACCCTTTAAATATTTCTGAAGGCACAAAGCTCAGTAGTATCTTCAAGATGAGGCATCATTATAATTATTAAAAGAAAAAAATAAAACCAAAGGCCTATGGGCAACGGCGCTCATATCGGTAACTTTTAGGGCTGGGACGATACATCAAGATATTGATAATATTGATTCCGTGTGAGGACGATACGCATATCAATACGTATAAAGAAATAACGAAATATCGCCAAAGAAATTCTGAATGATGTTTTTCTTTGTTTACTTAAAATTTTGGGTTTAATATATCAAATAAATATGCTAACTAGCTGTGAATATAAATATGAAATACATAATAATTAACACCACTTGTGTAAAATAATTTTGTTTTACAACAGATATCCAACTTTTTTGAATAAATTCTTCTTATTTGTGAAGAAATGTTTTGTTCAATTCAATAAAAAAAAAATTCATTACCAATTCGACATATCGTGATACATATCGTATCGTGGCTCAAATATCGTGATGCGTATCAATACAGAAAAAGTTGTATCGTCCAAGCACTAGTAACTTTAGCCGTGCTTTTCTTTAGAAAGTTTGTAAAAATGTTTTTATACTCCAATGAAAAGTTATAACCCCATATTATAACCCCAGTCTAACTCTTAGGGTCTCTGAATCCACACAACAAGGTGATGCTATATTATCAGTATGACTAACATGGCCTTGCAGTTATGGAGAATAATTTTTTTCCTGTATATATGCATTATGTAAAATTTTATCCCTATTTTAGCTAACTCTAACCTTGCATGATTTGAAAAAAAAATGAATTCATACACAGCCTAGGATTGTTTGTGAATGAATGAATGGTTTGAAGTTTTTCACAATTTTTTTTTCTTATATACATTTAATCTTTTCTGTTCAAGAGGTTCTAGGGCTGTGCATTGAACAAAAAAATTCAATACGATACAATACAATATTTTATAATGTGATATCCGATATATTGGATTCTTTAACAAGTCTATCAAAAAAGTCTTATAAATCATTAAATGCATGAATTTTATTTAAAAAAAAAAAAAATTGTTATATAACCCATTTCGAAGGTCTTGACTCACTGTCTCTACAAATTACACTTCAAATTCAAACTTTTAATGACTATAAAACAACATGTTAAAATAAAGTTGTCTATGTATTATCATAATATTTATCTAAGATGTGCTTTCTCCTTAATGATTATATCATCATTGATCAATTTTAATTCAAAATAGTGAAAATATAACCTTTGGTGATTGAAATTCCCAACTTTTTCACAGAATTATGAGAAAATCTGCCTATCCGATACGTATTGGAAGTTATTTTTTCGATATGATACATTCTTAAATATCGATACGTATCGATATATCAATATACTGATACAGCCCTAAGTGGTTCTAGAGAAGAATTCTACAAGATTTTTTTCCTATATATGTCAATGTAAAACTTTGATCCCCTATTGTGGCCCCATCCTATTCCTGAAGGTCATGATTTGTACAAATTAATTTTTTTTTCTACTTCAGGATGTTCATGAATTCTGGTCCTGTGGTTATTGAGAAGATTTTTAAAAGATTTTTTTCTTATATATATATATATAAATATATCAGGGTAAAACTTTGATCTCCTATAGTGGCCCCATCCTACCCTCGGGGGCCATTATTTTACCAAATTTAGAATCCATACTATCTAAGGAAGCTTTCACATAAGTTTCATCTCTTCTGGTCCAGTGGTTCTTGAGAAGACTTTTTAATGGCCCAATCCTATTTTTGCCTTTTATTGATGATCTTCCCTTGAAATGGTGCTTGGTCCTTCATTTGAACACATTGCCAACTTCTGTTAAAATTGGCCCAGTGCTTCTTAAGAAGAAATGGAGAATGTGAAAGTTTACAGATGGACAGACAGACAGCTACACGGACGGATGCCGGACAATGGGTGATCAGTGAAGCTCACTTGAGCTTTCACCTAAGATCAGCAAAAAAAAGTTGTTTACACGAAAAAATTCTGTTTAATTAAAAGTAATGAATTAATAAAATATGTCAGCTAAGAATACAGAACATTCATAATTGCTTCATTAATTGTCAAAATTCTCATGCATATTCATCAGATATTGCCTCGACATCCTAAAAATCAATACAATAGGTATTTTTATAAATTACATTCAATACATATATGTGTGCTATTTCTGAAAGCCCCATTTCTTCAAATTAAATGAACAAAAGAATTTTTGCAATCATCAATAAGATGTATAATGCACTTTCTCTGTTATAGATTTCATATAAACATTTTCAATAAAAATTTGGAAGCACTGAAGGTAAAAGACCTCAAGCATATGATGTTGACCTCCACATGTATGTGTACTTGTATGAAAATTCAACTAAATTCATGTGAATTTATTTAGTTCCAATAAAAAGACAGATTTTTCAAGTTGTGCATAAAATTATAAAAGTAACCTGCAAGTTCAAAGCTTTAAACAGCTTAATCTACTGAGTTTCACATTAAATGTTGTATCTTTAAATGCCACAAGATTTATTGCATATAAAGATTGACATGTTTACCTCATATATTTCTTATTTGTTGTTATTTTATTCATTGGATACATTTTCTTTTAATATTCATGAAGTGAATAAGAGGGAATTCAAAAATCTCTTGGCAATATTCAAATGCAAATACCTTCTATTGAATTTATTTTATTTACATTCTGGGTAATCAATATTTCCTTTGTGCAGCTTATAATTTCACTGCATATAAAACTGAACTGCAGTTACAAGATTTAAAACTGATCTAATTTTTGTATCGGTATAATGAAGCAGTTAAAGTATATCGTTGAGGGAGTCAGTAAGATTCCAGTTTCCCTCGAACGCCTATTTCCGTCGGCTTTGCCTCTGGAAATAGGCTTGCTCTTGGGGAACTGGAATCTTGCCGACTTCCTCAATGATATACTTTAACTGTATATTGATGGATACATTAATGTAAAACAGTCATTCAAAATATGGTGTACATGTATGTCTGACATGAACGGAGATATGCTTAAGGTCTTAAATAATTTGTATGTACTTCATTTGATCTTTCTTGGCTCTTCTTTTCACACTGACTTCATTGATGATTTTCTCTCTAGGCAGAGTCTCATCATCAGAGAATGGTGAACCATTGGGACTTAGAAAGAAGTTACTGCTCCTGGAATCTGTTTGACTTTTAGATGGGGAGAAAAGGGTAGATGCTCCCCTTTCTAATATCAGTTGTATAGGTTCTCCGGAATTTTGTAAAATCTGGTCAATCTGTGGAGATAATATTGCATAAACTTGTAAATTTAATATATTGATTACTCAATCATCGTATCACAGTTGTTCATTTCTTTAAAACATCATTTGCATCCCCTCCCAGTGGGACTGATATCCCCTGTACAGGCACAACAACAAAAAAATAAAGAAAAAGTATAAATAAAAACTTCCAAATAATTTTCAGCCAGTCATTATTAGTTACTCATAAATGTCATTGTTTTAGTTGCTTTTTTGTCTCTTCAAGAATTTTTCATTGGGATGCCACCGATTGCCAGTAGAAGGCAGCAAATTTAGACCTGCACTTGGCACTTGTTGACATTGAGCAGTGAGGGATCTTTTTATATGAATCTTGCTGCTCATCTGAGCATCCCAAGCTGTGACCACTCTGGCCACACCTGGAACTAGAACTCTGGTCTAATGTGATAAAAATGCTACACTGTTGTAGCCAGGGCACATGAATGTGTAATTTTTGCTATGGGCTAACTGCTCAATAATCAGGCAAAAAATACAGTAAAACAGGGTTATAGCAAACTTGCTTATAATGAATTTACACTTACAGCAAAGTGATTTTCATTCCCCATACTTTTAAAATGTGTTGTGAACTGAATGGATATAACAAATTACATTTATAATGAATCAAATATCACAATATTGATGTGAACAGCAATATGCTTATGTCAATATTGTGATATTTTTGATGATAAATTATACTGTGGTACTGATCCCATTAAAGAAATTGTTAACCCATGTGAATATAATACTACAAAACGTTTATGTATCTACTTAGATAAATGCTTTATGCAGAGGAAACAAGGTCTATAAGGAACTGTGTAAATTGAATTGCATGCAATTATGTTATAATATTCTTCTTTTTTTTCTGTTATCTGTCATTTAATTTCTTATTTTGTCTGTATGCCAACATGGTGATGTCAATAAACTGAATTGAAATTGCATAATGAATCAAAATTGTTGATTCATGGCACTAAAGTCTAAACAATTGTTTTACTGTATTCCTGTTTGAAGAAGATTTTCAAGTAGGTGTAATGTGCAATTTCATTTATTTGTCATTTTAAACAATTTTGAGCCATCAAAATGATTTTTGTACATTAATTTCCTAAATACAGTGTGAATTATACAAAATTATATATTTCTGATTCATATGAAAGAGTTTTTTGTTATAAAAAAATCTTTAAAGCAAATTTATTATGTAAATCTCAATATTTTTGATGCTCAATACTTGCCAGAAATCAAAAGTGACTTGAATAGACAAAGGGAACATTTTACTCATGCCAAATGTACAACTAATTTACAGCTGAACAATTCTTTGAGTCAAGTATATACAGAATATGAAATAAAATAAATTCAAAATACAAGTACACACGTTTCCATCATTGTGTATCATTTGCTGAATTTAAATGTTTTCCTTTAAACACTGTGGTAAATAAGCAACCTTCATTAAGAGACCAACTGTCATATGTGACCTTTTTTTTCTTTCTCTGTTGGAAGGTCTCTTAATATAGGTTTGACTGTACATCACAGAGATTAAGAATTGCTCTGACCATTCCAGCAACTGTAGCACCATAACTGCAAAAACTCAAGATGCATCAACTAATAAAGATTGGTGATTCTGCCAGCTAGATGTTGGGCTAAACATGAAGGGGAAGACCTGAACACTTTTTCAGAATGATTGTGTTTTAAAAATATAAGAATCATATTAGAAAATTAAAAGGCAAAATGAGCTTTCTGCCTCCAATTGCCTCTCAGATGAAAATGAAAATGTGGAAACCAATATTGCACATCTACAGGACACCACCAATCATATTCCAAAGATGATTAGGCTACCGTGTAAAATGTAAAAAGAGGTCTGGGAAAATTTTTGAAGAAAAGAATACTTTTTTTTTTACCCTTAATTGGCCTCCTGGATAAAAATGAAAATTCCAAAATATTGCCACATCTACAGGACACCATCAATCAAATTTTAAATTAAAGATGATTTGGCTACTGCATAAATGTGACACAAGTTCTGGAGAAATGGTTTTTGTAGCATAAAATGTAAAAAGAGTTCAAGGTAAAAAAAAATTAGTGTGATAGACAGGGATTCTTTAGAAGGTGGGAGTATAAAGTTATAAACATGGTATATCTCAGCAACATCACATCACAACTTTACAATTCTCATGAAGTGTTTTCAGATAACAGACAATTCTTACCTCCTCAACAGAGCTTTCCTTTACTGGCATCCCGTTTACTTCCAGGATCTTGTCTCCAACACTAACAGCATCTAATTCTGGACTCAAATTGTGATCTAGTCTGAATATTAGAAAAAAAGAGACCCATGGGCCAAAACAATCACATATGTAACCATTTTCCTCTGGACAAGTGCACTAACATTGACACTGGAGAAACCCCTTATTTTGATCACCAAATTCAAGCCCATAATTTCCACACAATGAAAAGTCAACTTTACACTTTGATTATTTCTTGGTTGTGAAAATTAATCAAGTTGCGTATGAAACTTTTTTCTCTAAAAAAATCATGGCTAATTTTCACCCAAAGGCCCAAGGTAAGAACATGTGTCTACATGAAATGGGTATGCTTATACCCATTTCACTAATTATGATCCTGTTGCTTTTTAGAAGAACATTTCATAGATTTTTGTGTCTTCTGATGAGCAGAGTGACAGTTATGCATCACTTTGCCCAACATCTGTCTGGTCTCTGTCACTCCCTATATCCTGAGAATAGTTAGAGGTGGGGATTTGTTATTTTGCTCATGTACTGTAGATTCCTTATTTTTCATGAGTACTTAATATAGCGTGATGAATCTTGGATGTCAACAATATTTAGCAAGTGTCAATGAACAATTCAATGCTGCTGAGGCTGTATGTAGTATTTCAGTTTTGGTATCAACCTCAGAACAACTGGATCTTTGTTTCTTTATTGTTTGTCTCTGTCACATCTACTGTCAAAAGTAAAATTCAGGGTCACAGGGAAGGTTAAAGTCATATGAAAGTAAAATTCTCACATAAAATAACTGCTCTCACCAATATGTATCACTATCATCTTTATCCTTGTCACTGTCATTCTTACTGTCTAAAGTTAAGGTCACAGGGAAGATCAAGGTCATGTACATAGGCAAGTTAAAAAAAATCATTACACAGTTGAATTGCTCTCACCAAAAATACGTTTTGAAAGACATTTGATAAATATATCTCAAAAATTGAAGTTCAAGGTCATATAGAAGGTCAAATTAAAAAAAAAAGCCAAACACAGTTAAATTGTTCTCACCAATTTGTATCAGTGTTAAGTTTGATATAAAAAGCTTAAATATGAGGTTCTAGGTCAAGGAGAAAATCACACATCTGAATTGCTCTCACCAATATGTATCTTTGTCTTGTCAAAAGCTAAATTCTGGGTCATAGGAAAAGTCAGGGTCAAAGAGATGGTCAAGGTCAAAAAATATCACACAGCTGAATTACTGTATCTTTGTATGAAATTTGATGGAAATATCTCATTAAGAGAAATTCAATTCATATGACTGACAGGGTCAAAAAATTTTGACACAATTGTTTTCCCTTGATTATGTGAAGTTTGATGAAGGCATCTTGAACAGTTTCTTTGAAACTAAGGTAAAATAGTAAGGTTAAGGTCATAAGGAATGTCAAGGGCAGAAAATTATGAAACAGTTATATTTTCTCACCAAATTGTATCAGTTATGAATTTCAGTGAAAATATCTTCAATAGTTTCTTTGAAATTATGACACATGTAAAAGCAAAATGAGGGAGTGAGATTAAGGTTATAAGGAAGGTCAAAGTCATAAAATTAAGACACACTTGAACTACTCTCACCAATCTGTCTTATGCCCTGTTCACACGGAGAGTTTAATTCGCAGTAAATTAATGCGAAGTAAAATGATACGAATTAAAATAATGCGAATTAAATTGCGTTCACACGACAGATAATGCGAAGTAAACTAATGCGAATTAAAATTTTATTTCTACAGTAAGGCTTTTCAGTTGGGCTATTATGACGTCATTTTCAAATCACGTCACCTTATGCAGAGCAAATCCATTTGACATAATGTCATAGTGTCTATACACATTTCAATGATTAACGTAATTTTCCTTTGTTTTGCACTAAAAATGGCATAGGTACCTATAACTGACCACCGTCATGTGGCAGGTGACTTAATTTTGCTCTTACGCATGCGTAAAATTTAATTCGAATTAGCTTCACTTAGCGTTCACACGGAGCTAATGCAAAGTAATTTAATGCGCAGTAAACTAATTCGAATTAAACTAATTCGCATTAAATTCTCCGTGTGAACGCGGATCAAATTTAATTCGCAGTAACTTACGTTTAATTCGAATTAAACTCTCCGTGTGAACAGGGCATTAGTGTATAAGGTTTTAGGATAATACATTGAAGAGTTTCTTGGAAATTAAGGTAAATGCAAATTTTAGCACAAGTTGTTACAATGCTGCAAGATTTTAGTTTTGGTGTGAAACCGTACATAGAGCATATACGGTACCATATATTCATACCACATAACTACAGTAGTGCCTCAAATGGCGCAAGGGGTAGAATAAGCCAATGGACGATCCTATTATCTATCATATATCACTAGGTGAAATACCTCCATAATATTACTAGTGCCCTACTGGTGAAACCACATGGAACTATTGGTCTCCTCTGTCTGTATGTCTGTCTATCTATCTGTTCTTGTTTGTCTTGCAGATATTGATATTGCTGATTTTTTTTGGTATATGAGTCTACATTGATGAGTTACAGAGAAAGTTTGCATTTCATTCTGCTCAGATGATTTTTTTTTACCAAACTATGGCCCTAGGACTCAGAAAATTTAGTATATTAACAGGTTTTCCAGATTTTTTTTCCTGTATACTTGCAGATACTAAGCTGAGTTTTGGTATGCGAGTCAATTTTGATGAGGTACAGATAGATTATGCATATTGTTTCACATCAATGAATTCTGGCAGAATTATGACCCTTGGGTTTAGAACATTGGTTCATTTACAGATTTATCAGACTTTTTTTTTAGACACTTGAAGATAATGCCAAAGATTGAGCCAAGTTTTGGTAGTTAGAGTAACCTGATGAGGTACAGATATTTCATAGATTACAGCCCCTGGAGTAATTACCTCCTCTAGTTGACCATTTATAACAGATTCCCCCCCCCCCCCCCCCCCGCCTGAATTTTTAAGAGGGTCTATACTACAAATGCCAGTAGTGGACATGGTATTGTTTATGCAATATTTACTCTCTAGTCTCTTCTTATAACTGGAACCCAAAAGAAAATATAATTTATCAGTGCACATGATACAATGTTAAACTTGTATAGATATTGAACAATAACTACGTTTTTTTTTTAACTTCCTCACTTCAACCTTAAATATAACACCAAGATAATTTAGCTTTTATAACCATTATTGTTATATGTGTATATTTCTGTTCCAAATCTCTTTTTTATCACAGATATCTTTAAGCATGGACTGACTACCAAGCAGTCCTGATCTATAAGACTAAGTTACTGGTTCTGAGTCTTAATTAACTGAGTACCTTAGACTCTGTCCAGTTGAGGCAGGTGGAATCTCAATCAGCTGGATGGAATGTGCCCCCTTATTTTGACTGGAAGACGTGATCAGGACAGGTTTCATTTTTATTTTGTAACACTCTCCACTATAAAATAAATATGGAAAGAGTTTAAATCTAAGATTTGATTTGTTTTTCATTTTCAGGAAATCATACTACACTGTACAATCCAAATCTTAAATACAAGTTACCTTGTTTACAACTGACTTTCTGCTTGCCTTACACATAAACATATATCACAGAGATTAATTCAGAACCTCAGCATATCTACCAATGAAGTAATTATGGAGAACCTATGTCATATTTTTGATCCATGTCACAGCAGCAGTGTTTGACATTAGAATAGTGCTGATATTTTTTTTAACTACTTTCGAAAAGCAGTGTACGTCTAGTCCGCCAGCAAGCCCGAGACTTACTAAATCAAGAGAGGAGGTACAAATTTACTCGGCATTGTCTCACTTGGGCACACTAATTTCACCCTTTTCCTTCCATTTTTGCATAATCTATTAGGAAGGTTAAAGTTTATGACAAATTTTCAGACACAACCATGCCATCCATCTTAATAGTTTCAAAAATTTCAAATAAAGAATTTTATTTTTGGACATAGTTACTTCCTTGAGTCAGTACTGTTCATATGCTCATCATATCATAGTCACCCTATTTTAATTACTGGTATACAATAGTAATCTGCACTATCTGATAGCAAACAAAAAAACAAATCATAGCAATAAAAATATGTGTAGCAGAAATAAATTACCATGTTTACAAGACTATAATCCATTCCTATATTGTATAAGGTGTGTTGAAAACAAAACAAACTGATAACACTTAACAGCATCAATTTCATAATCACTGTGTCAGTTTCCTGTCCTGTACTCCAGTACACAAATATGGACTAATCTCATCATATCAAGATCTGTGCACTATATATACAGCAGGTCAGGGAAAGTTAAATAATTTTATCTGAAGTGTATTTACATGCATATCATATAAAAAAAAAAAAAAACCCAGATTATTTGAAAATTCTCTGCTTTAAATTGAATGAAAAATTTCAATTGAATACTATTTTCATTTAAAAAAAATCCTATTAGCAAAATGTTCATATAGCAGGACTTTCTATTCAATATACATGTAGGCACAGACTAACAGTATTACTATATAGTGAATTGCTTACAGTAAATAAGATGATTACAGTATATTAGAAATACACTAGACAAAATTGCTAACGCACCACTTATTATTCTTATTTGTGAATTGATCATTTTCCTGATTTGGTACCAATATATAAAATATGCCATCTTTTCCAAAACAGTTGGATTGACAAATGTCTTGGTGTCATGTCAAGACCCTTAAAGGACCGCCTTATCCGAAAACCAATTTCCCGACTTGCACTGCGCACCGTTTTTGCCAAGATATGAAGTTGGTGATTATCAATGGTTGTCCGTGAGGTTGCGATAGGAGCTGTCTCCCACTTAAAAATCAAATGATATACCCTGATTGACTACCATATCATTGAGTAGTCATCTGGTGCCTTGGTGTCCCTACCAAATCCACCCAACTTCCCGTTGCCCCAATTTTGTGGAACAATCTTGAAGTTATTGTGTAGTGCTTACTTCATGCCTTCGCTATCTATTGTAAACATTTTTATGATTGTTTTTTTATTTTCAAAAATTTTTCATCAGAAAAATGCATAATCTTTTAATTGTTTTAATTTTTCACGAATTTCTTCAAATGAACCCCCTGCAGACACCATACTGGCTGCCTTAGCACGCTCTTCTAGAGTCAAACATCACAGACAGTTAAACTTTTTTTCTGAGTTTTTAATTAGTACAAACATAAAGAACACAACCACAAAGAAAAATATAGAAATTTATTCCACCAAAAAAGTATGGACATGATTTTAATTTTTTCTATGAAGTGGTTATGCTTCAGTAAACACTGTTGTAATTTATCAGTTAAAACATTTAAATGTCTCAATTTTTATTAAAGTAACATAATTATATATCAAAATCATCATAAACAAGTTTTGAAAAGAAAAATGTTAATTTATTTAGGTTGTGCGTTAGCAATTTTGTCTAGTGTATGGCGAGTGTAAACTTTGGTGGACTACTACTATGTAACATCGCTCTTTAACAAGAATGTGAAAGTTGACAATGGAAACTGACAATTATTTCTAATTTGTCAATTTCATCAATGTTTCCATGTTGCCAAAGTTTCCACTTTTACAGTATGTACATGGTTTTAAGAAAAATGCAGTCAGACATAACTATTGACTGCAAAAAAAATCCTGTTGTTGATTACAATTCATTTTAACAATCCTGTATCTATAACGTCAGAGAGTATCTTACCAGAACAATAGATGCTGCTCCACCAGTGCATATGTTTGTCCATTCTCTATGAACATGTCACAGTTGTTACACTGGAAACATTCTCGGTGAAACTTATGGTCTCCTGCCACCTGTAATTCAACATACACACTAGTAATTTTTACTTTTCATACAACTTGAGTTCCTACAGAATTCTTAACTCACCCATTATGCATAAATTATCCCACGTTTCCAACTATCATTGATGTCCCTGGCATATTCTACTAACTAGACAGTGATTCCTTATATTTCCATTTCATTGTGAAATAAAATTGTAAATTTAGATTTTAAAAATGTAGACTAATGGATATTTATTACACGAGGCCTCACATGTTAATTTCAATAGTCCCCGCCCACTGACGTCAAACATAAAGACAGCCACACGAGAATTACATGCATATTAGACCTCCTTAGCATCAGACACAAAGACAGACGCATGAGATTTACATGCATATTAGGCCACCTTAGCTCCTGACCTTTTGCTTGGCGAAATTTACATTCCAGTAGAATGATCAAGAAATCAACTCAACTAACTTTCAAAGAGTTATCGCAGAGAAAAAAATTAGAAATGAAAATATAATATATTTAATGCCCAGCTTTTACAACAAATACTTAAGAAGTAAATTAATGACAAGGTTAAAAAGTTCATCAGGGAATGAACTTAGCTGGTCACAAGATCAAATCCTGTGAAGTTCAAATGACTAAATTGTATAATGTTCAAATATAAATCAGTTGTACATATAGGGATACATACTATATAAATGGTGCCTGTTTTGGAGGATAACAGCTGAAATTGACACCCCAAGGAAAACCATTGTCAACCGATGTGTCAGCGGAGGTTGACAATGGTTTTCCAAGGGGTGTCAATTTCAACTGTTACCCTCCAAAGCAGGCACCATTTATTTTATCATACTGAATACTGAACTGTCTTATTGATTTAGAATGTCAGCAAAAAATTTGTCGATCGTCTTTACGTTAACATTTAGAAAGCTTTCAAACTCCCTGCTTCTATTTTTCTCAATAAGAAAGCTTTGAAAAAGATTTACCGACCTCTTTATTGTTTGTTTAATACTCAAAAAGTCCTTTGTCATCCAAAGTTTCATTATTTCTACACTCGCAAGTATGTTTCGTCTGTCTTTTGTTGTTTTCAAGTAAGCTACATTGGACACAAGCTTTTATTGACATCAAGTTTACTTGGCTTCTTTCAAACACACCTGCACTGACGTTTTGAGAATTCTAGGGTGAATCGTACGCACATGATTTGCATGTATGTGACATTTTCGTAATGTTACCTGTTATCAAGTGTGTTGCTAATGCTCAGGGTAACATTACGGACTGTTAAATGCATCTAAACCAATCAGATTTTAGTTTTAACATTAAAGTATAATAAAGTAGAATGTGCCACTGAACAGCGCGAAAGTCATTATGATTTTAAGCAATGAATATCGAGTATCTGAAACTCAAGATTTCATGATGCTTAAATTACTCAGTAATAAAGACGTATTGTTTTTAACAAGATATATTTTCATATAAATTTCAGCACTGTATTTTGAGTACAACAATGTAGTTTAATAGGGCCAAAAAAAAAAATGTGTGTTTCCTAACTACAGTCCCTGAAACGTTCTACTTTCCCATTTTTCCGTTCGCTCACCGTTCATTCACCGTTCGTTCAGCGTGCATTCACCGTGCGTTCACCGTTCGCTCTCCGTTCACAGTTTTGCGTTCACCGTTCACCGTGCGCTCGCGTTCACCGTTCACAAAGCGTTCAGCGTTCGCTCTTCGTTCCGTTCACTTTGCGTTCACCTTGCGTTCAGCGTTCACCTATCGTTCAGTTTTCATTGTCATTCGGAACTCCGAAGCGAAAGGACTTATCTTTTTGTAGTTAAGGAGTTTTTTTTAATTTATTAACTAACATATCGTGTTTGAAGAATCAGTATTTCATGAGGAAAAATATCTACGATATATATTTTTATTATTCTAACTTAGCTGTTAGGTTATTTATTAAATTACTCTGGAAAATAAATGTTGTTACAAAATATAATAGAACTAGTTCTGAGAGTTATACATAGTACTGCGGATATCCTGTTAATTTATTATCTTTAGAACGAATTAAATTGATAGTGTGGTTAAAGGAATTATTTATTTCAAATGTAATGCACTACAGAATTTCTCTACTGTAATATGTGAAGTCTATAGTTATAGAGCAAAAAAAAAATCTTTCTTCACCGTTACTTGATATGTTTGCCATTCGATATGATTAATACCCCCCCCCCCTTTCCCCCTAAATCGGTGACTTAGTCAGTACCGTATTTCCAGAATATTTTAATTAACATTTTAAAAAAAAGCTACGGTCTTTTTAAGAAGAAAAATTTCAGTCTCAAAACAAACATGCATCTAAAAAAGTCACAAAACAATAGTAGATCAAAATGTACACGTGTCGGCGGTGGTATTTGAAATTGGCAGAGAGTATGTTTCACATTCAAGTGTTAAAGCTGAATGTATTTTACTAATTTATTATTCAAATGTTGGAATCAAATCTAGAAATGATAAAAATAAATGTTATAACTTCGCACTTCGTCTTCGATGTGATGAAACTTTCACACCTGCACAGTGTCGAATGATTTTGATTGACAGGACAAGCACGTGGACTTCGTGTATGACTGTCAAACAAATGGATATGATTTGTTGATAAAAAAAAAAGTTACTTTCACTGTCTGATATATTTAGAAAAAAATTTCAGAGTTTTTGTTTGATATAGGTACAAACATTTGGTGAAGCCTGAAAGGAGGGGGGGGGGGGGCTAAAACTGAATATTACTCTCTCTCTCTCTCTCTCTCTCATTTGTCTATTTAATAAAAACTATAACACCATATTACTTAATTATCAAGTTCTGAAAATTGAATTTATAACAAATAATATGAATATGTATCTTTGTATCATCTTGTCCGAGTATAATCATGGCCATCTAGAGATACATGTAGACGTCTACTCAATAAATCATGATGAAAAAAAGAAATGACACATAATATATTATTGTATTAAAATTTAAAATACGAGCGTATAAATGTAATTAATTTTTTTTCATTACTTTACACGAAATTGCCTTGACACGGAGATATATATATATGAGTATAAGTTACAACCGCTTTAATTCATTCTATAAATCATAAGTTTTCCCTGATTTGTTATCAACTAAGAATAAACATTTTTATTTTCCAACTAAAAATAATATCTTTTATACTTCAGCGTTCGGCAACAATTGCAATGTTTTAATGCGATAAAAATCGTGTGATTAAAAACTTTATGTGCATGCATCGTCTTTCTTAGGACAATTTTGGAGAATTTATTTTATTGACTTATTTATTCATTCATTTATTTGTTTACTTATTTATTATTATTATTATTATTTATTTTTTTTTTTTTTTTGGCACCTGACATTATAATACAATAAAATAGTTTCAATGCAAGGAAAAGATCAGAGGCATTCCGAATATATCGTTCATCTTGCGTTCACCGTTCGTTCACCGTTCACTTTGCGTTCGCACTCCGTTCGCGTTCTGCGTTCGCTCACCGTTCACACATCGTTCACCAAGTTGCGTTCAGCGTTCACACATCGTTCACTCACCGTTCGCTCTGCGTTCGTTCAGCGTTCGCTCACCGTTCAAGTGGGAAAGTAGAACGTTTCAGGGACTGTACATGGGATTTTAAAATAGGGTAGGTGGATGCAATTTTTTTTTTAACAGTATTGGGGTGGGGGTGGAGATTCAATGTCTACTGAACATAATGAACAAGAAATGAATCTAGGTTTAGTCAAGGTCTAACCTAGACCTTTAATTTAGGACATCTATTTATACCCATGTATAACTTTCATCACCCATAGTAGCCACATCATACTCCCTGGGTCATTAGTTGAACTTGAATCTACACCACCTAATGATGCTTCAATCTGAATATGATTAATCATGGCTTTCAGATTTTTTTAGAAGAAATTTTGTAAAGATTTTTTGCCTATTTATACCATGTAAAACTTTGATTGCCCATAGTGGCAACATCCTACCCCGGGGGGTCATGATTTGAATAATTTTTTATCTACACAACCTGAGGATGCTTCTAAATAAATATGACTGATCATGGCTTTGCTGTTCTTGAGATTTTTAAAGATTTTTCCTATTTATACCCTTGTAAAACTTAGATGCCTTAAGTGGCCACACCCTAGCCCCTGGGGCCATGATTTGAATTATTTTCTATCTACACAACCTGAGGATGCATGCTTCCAAATAAATTCGATTGATCATGGCTTTGCTGTTCTTGAGAAGATTTTTAAAGGTTTTTCCTATATAAACTTACGTAAAGCTCTGATCGCCCTAAGTGGCCACATCTTACCCCCAAGGGGTCATGATTTGAATAATTTTCAATCTACACAACTGCTTTAATATGACTGATCATGACTTTGCTGTTCTTGAGAAGATTTTTCCTATTTAAACCCTTGTATACTTTGATCGCCAATAGTGGCCATACCCTAGCCCCAGAGATCATGATTTGAATAATTTTGAATCTAAACAATCTGAGGATGCTTCAAAATAAATATGACTGATCATGACTTTTCTACTCTTCATTAGAAGATTTTTAAAGATTTTTCTTGTTTATAAATATACTCACGTAAAACTTCGATCACCCTTAGTGGCCACACCCTAGCAAACTTGAATCTACATTGTGTCAGGAAGCTTTTAAATAATTTTTATCTTCTCTGTCCCAGTGGTTCTTGACAAGAGGATTTTTAAATGACCCCCCCCCCCATTTTTTACTTTTTTCTTAATTATCCTCCCTTGGGAGAGAGTGTGACCCTTCATTTGAGCAAACTTGAATCCCCTTTACCCAATGATACTCTGTGCCAAGTTTGGTTGAAATTGGCCCAGTGGTTCTGGAGAAGGTGATATTGTTAAAAGTTTATGATGACAACAACAACAGACATAGACAAGTTTTGATCAGAAAAGTAACTTGAGCCTTCAACTCAGTGAGCTAAAAATTGAGAAAAAATATGTCCATTTTGTCCTCTTTCTTGAAAATAGTGGGAAATACAAATAGATTTTATTATCACAGAAAGAAGAATTGACAATAATCTACTTCCAAAACTATAAAAATCTTTGTTAATTCAGACTTTTCATACAGAATTGTGTACATTTCTAGAGATTTTCAATATTTGGCTTTTATGGGGACAAAAATATGCTTTTACTGTACATAACTCTATGAAACTTTAGAATCCCACATGACTAGTGGAAATTTTACTTAAGTTTAAACCCTGAAGACAGCCAGAATATCAGACAGATGGATAATGGATGCCTTTCAATGCATTTTCAATATATGATCAGTAGAGTCCCATCCTCACTCTTAATTCTGAGACACAGCTTTCTGATCAGGTGAGCTAAAAATAAATGAATTTTCAATATATGATTCCCAGACACAGGGGCCATGAATGACACAATATTGGAAGAGGCACCCTTGCTCATCATAACCATGCACTTATTTTATCTGCTAAATACCCAGGAGCAGAGAAGATTTTCAAAGAATTAATGCACTTTCACTATATGATCAATAGGGTCCAATCCTAGCTCCAGAACCCCTAACCCAGGGGACATGAATTTCACAATTTTGACAAAGAAGCTAATTACAGCTTTATTATAAACAGTTTTCCAGTATACTGAAAATGAAGGATTATGATGTTATTTCTAGAATTTTTACATCACAAAATATACATATTTCCCTGATGTTTTTTTTTAATGATATAAAAAGTTCCAACTTCCTTTAAACACTTTACACTTTATCAACAATATTAAGAGTTCAACTATGTACATTGTCACCCCATTATATCACCAGCTTGTTTGCATTATTTCACAGGTGGCACTAGAAGGTTAAGAGTTTGACCTTATTTGTTATATCAATTTTAGAAAAAGGGGTAATAAACTGAGTATTGTCATTTAAATTTAAAGCCGTAAATAAAAATATTTAGGATACATATGCCCATTCAGTTGTTGAACTGTTTTACTCAAATTCTTAAAATTTCATTGTATAGTGGGATGTCATGCACTTGTGCATTTTAAAACCATGTAAATTTTCTCCATATTTGTCATGGTTTATGTTAAGATGACAAAAGTAGGTTAATTGCAACAGTTTTTTTTTCTAGAACACATAAATATGACGTAACATACATCAAAATATACCAGTCATTCTACAAAAACATGACCAATTAAGAATTTTTTATGTTGCTTGCAAATTTACCGCTGTAATATCTTAATTATAAATTTAAAGGTCGATTTCAACTCTAAGACTTAAAATACACACTTGGTTTTGTAAATATTCACCGATATATATGCAGTTAAAGTTTTAATATGAACATATTGTAATGTTGAAAAACGTATTCCACTGCAAATCTTAATGTCGCTTCATTTATATACAAATTTCAAGATGAAGTTTTCAGCCTTAAAATCGTTCCGATTAGAGTGCAATGAATGTAAAAAAATGTCTTTTATTCTATATAAAAAGAAATCAAACCACTTCTCGCAAAGAAATGCATAGATCTCCTTTCATGCGAATTTATAAGCATGTCGCTTAAAATCGATTAACTTCCGTATTGATTTTGTTTTAAATTTCACGCATAGAATGCATATTTCAAAAAGAACTGAAATTTATCTGAAAGTGACCACGGAACCTTATATCATCGATTCTAGTTGTGAGTCAGCTATTTTACTCGATTACATTTTCGACATAACAAAATGAATTAGACAAAAACAATTGTCTATCTTAAAAATTTAACTTCCGTAACGGTAATTCAGGAAAGTTTTTGCATTTAAGGTATAAAATTTTTGATTATTTTGGGAGCGAAATGCTTCATACTTTTGTTTAATATCCTAAAACAAACTTTGATTTTAATTATTGAAGAGAATTTTAACTTTTATTGCTGGGAATTAACTTCCGTAACGATTAACTTCCATAACGATATTTTTCCCGAAAATTTAATTTAAATTCGGATTCATGCAAGACTTCATGAATCATACTTTAGCGTTCTTTACTGAACATCAGAAACGAAAAATTGGTCAAATTCAGCTTTATTTAAAAAATAATAAGGCTTGATCAAGCATTAACTTCCGTAACATTACCTTAAAATCAATGGTATCTTGAAATTGTTGTAAAAAGTTAATGATGCCAGATTTGTGGACAATTCTTTGTTTTCAAGTTCACTGATAGGTCGTTTAGAGAATTATGATGTTCATTTTGCTATTTGAAACAAACATTTTTTTCATGTTTTTTACTCTGAATTGGTCCATTTATCGTAGAATGACTGATACAAGAAGGATACATGCTAGCAAAAAATTTAAACAGGTGGTAAGTAAATGAATTATGACGTTTCAGTTTCATCTTTTGTGATTCTAAGCCTAATGGACAAATTCAGTGATAATTCTTAATTTTTATTCGAGCTACTATCGCAATTATCTAAATAATACGTGTATGCCTGTTTTTATATTATGTGCGTTGGTGATATACTGAGGTGACAGGGTAATAAAACCTCTTCAACTCCAACCAGAGAATACAAGCTATAAATTTTACCATGACTGGTCCTGTGATAATAAGGCCACATCTGTTACAGACATTTCCATACAGGGCCCAGTAATCCTGCTTACAATATAGTTGTCCATTCTTCTCAAAGTACCAGTTGGATAAGCTTTTGTTACACTGGGAACACCTAAAATTACAAAAACATAGGTAATCAAATATTACAAAGCTCACATCAACAAATGTACTGTATAAGTAAGTCTCAACTCCAACAAATGTTCTGGTAGTGTGCATCCCTAGATACATGTACAACATCTATGCAAGTTAGGTCCAGGAAGGATATATTTCAAACTTGAAAATGGACCTTCTCCAAAAAGTTAAACTGTTCAATCACCCTGTAAATGTAGGTCAGATCCAGCTTCCAAAGCATATCTGGTTGTGTGTATACCTAGCAACATGTTTTATCAATGCAAATTCAGTCACTATAAGGATTACAGTTACTTGGGAACAGACCAGAACTAAAACATTTACTTGTTCATTCACATGGAAAATGTAGGTCAGACGCAGCATCCAAAGCAAGTCTGTAGTATGCATACCTAGATGCATCAGCCATGTAAGTTTGATGACCATGGGACTTAAAGTTACTTGGGAATGAATTAGGAGTAAGTGTGTGATACTGCCAATTATCACACTTAGTAAATACACCAATACTGCACTGCGCAATATGGGTGACATCACAATACCCCACATCAATAAATCACAATACCCCACAACAATGACAGGTCCAAAAACCCATATCAAGTATCAGACAGGCCTGAAAAATCCAAATCAAACTAGAAGTGACGTTTGTAAGGATTACGTATGTGAAGTATGAAAGCCCTAGCTCCAACCATTCAAAAGTTATGGCCAAGATTAAAGTTTTTTCAAAAGTAGGTCAAACACCTAGGTCACGGTCAAAGGGTCAAAGAGGTTGATATCCAGAGGAAGGCCTTGTCACAAGGAATACACATGTGAAGTTTGAAACCCCAAGCACCTACTGTTCAAAAGTTATGGCCAAGGTTAAAGTTTTTTCAAAAGTAGATCAAACTCCAAGGTCAAGGTCAAAAGGTCAAAGTTGTTGGTATCCAAAGGAAGGCCTTGTCACAAAGAATATACATGTGAAGTTTGAAACCCCAAGCACCAACTGTTCAGAAGTTATGGCCAAGGTTAAAGTCTCATAAAAAATTTGCAAAAGTGGGTCAAACTCCAAGGTCAAGGTCAAAAGGTCAAATATGATGGTACCCAAAGAAAGGTCTTGTCACAAGGAATACACATGTGAAATATGAAAGTCATAGCTCCAACCAATCAAAAGTTATGGGCAAGGTTAAAGTTGACAACAGACAAACAGATAAACAGACAAACAGACAGACAGGACAAAAACAATATACCCTCGGGATCTTTTGATCCGGGGCATAAAAAACAACAACTAGCACTACTACTAAACTACCAAACACTATATATTTACAATGTTACATGTTTAATTTGAAAGTTTATTAACCATGCAATAGTAAAGAAAGAAATCTGGACCACTATGAAATATGCCTGGTCTGTCAGGTATACATATATATATATATATATATATATATATATATATATATATATATATATATATATATATATATATATATATATATATATACACATACATGTATATATTTAAAAGATATTTATAGAACATTATGTACATATCTCAATAAAGCATTTAAAACAACTTACATATTTGTTTTCCTCATTATATTATGCACCCTTCATACAATGTATAGATTCCAGTAATTCCAATACCACATACAGTACTTGGACCTTTTTTTCAAGAAGGTAAACCACAAAGATGAGTCATTTAAGAAATTCTCATAAACTATGTGCCTGTCAATGTATAGACATAACAAATAGTTCATTTTAACCATCCGCATGAAATGCTAAATGTGAAGTGAACTTTACATCAATATACAGACAACTTTTGTCAAATTGAACATTACTCTTTAACAAGAGGCTCTTTTCCCCCTTTTTTTTTAAAGGGAAATTGGACTTTTTTTCCTTCTTTTTCAAAGACCTTTTCTGCAGGGGGGGGGGGGGGGGGATGTCACCCACTTTTTTACAGAGCACATTTCTACATAACAGGAGAGCAAAATTTTAAAGGCAATGGTGTGGTCCTAATTTCCATATTTCCAAAAATTCAAAATTAATTTGTTAATTTGATGATTGGTGTGATATACTGTATACTATGAAACCCAGTAGTGGAGGTCAATTTCTTCAATTTTGATGATCAAATTGGTTGTAAAATTGTAAGGGTAAGAATTGAACTTTAAATTCAAGATTTCTCATCTTCTTGTATTCCTATTAATGTAGTTTAATGTAGTTTTGTGATTATATTACTGCCATATTGGTCAGGGATTTATCCAGCTATTTTATTTGACTATCCTTTTCACATAAAGGGGGGAAAAATGAGAATGTTTGCTCATTATTAGTGCTTGAGGCACCCTGGAAATATTCAGAGAAATGTTGCAAAAAACTTCACTCTGGTTATCCTTCCAAAAACCTGTTCTTCCCATTACATGTATTTACTATCAATATACTGTGGTCTCCACTTTTTATAGGGCTGTCACGGATTCATATTTTTGCGGATCGGATCAGTTTTGTGATTTTTCAGTTTGGTTTTGGTTATTTACATAATTATATTTTAAACATTTTAATCTTTATATTTGTTATGTTAAAATCACCTTGAAAACCATATCAACGTCTTAACATTGGTGTTTAGGAATACTAGGCCAACTATTAGCTACAGCCTGACCACTCTTGCTCATTTTGATAATTATCTAATCCTTTCTTGACAAGTGTTTTGTCTTGGAATTAAGTAGATTTCAGTTGTGATAATTTTTTATCACTGTTATTGTCATCATTCTTTTGATTTCAATGCCATTCTAATATATAAATCAGACTCAAACTGAAATCCAAAAACATAGGTAATCAAAGATTACGAAGCTCACCTCGACGAATGTTATCTTTAAGTAAGGCAAATTTCACATCATATTCTTTTTTTAGTTAGTGTACATCCCAAGATCAATATCCATGCAAGTTTGGTTGAAGTACGACTTAAAGTTACTTGGAAAAAGACCTGTTCAAAAAATGTTTATCCTGTATACTAATCAAGAAAATTTTGGTCAGTTCCAACATCCAAAGTAAGTCTGCAAGTTTTCATCCTTAGATGCACCATCTATGCAAGTTTAATCATAACAGGCCATAATGCTATATAGCTACTCCAAAAAAATTATCCTGGTCACTCATCTGAAAAGTATAGGTCAGATTCAGAATCCAAAGCAAGTCTGGAAGTGACCATCCTTAGCTACATCATCCATGCTAATTTGGTTAAAATATGGCTAAATTTCACTCATGTGGAAAATCTAGGTCGAATCCAGCATCCGAAGCAGGTTGGTTAGCGTACATCCCAAGATGCATCATCCATGCCAGGGTTAGAAACTCCCTAAAATTACAACTCGCAAATAATTGCGAGTGCCAACAAAGTGAACTTGCAATTTTTAAAGACTACTTGCAATTTTCTTATAAAGTTAAATTTATATAAATTAAATACATGTAACTTAAGGAAAAAGTAACTACTGTACAATACACAAAATACAGCTACAGTGCGACTTTTATTTAAATTACTGATTTTAATCAAAAGTATTGTGTTCTGTCATATTATATAATTTTGCTTGTTTCAATGCAAAAAAACTCAACTCGCAAGTTTTTGCAAGTTACCTAATTTTTAACTCACAATTTGGGAATTCTAACTCGCGTTTTGCAAGTTGTATATAGTGAATTTCGAACCCTGCATGCAAGTTTGGTCAAGGTAGGGCTTATAGTTACTTGGGAATGGACCTGCTCCATAAACTTTAACCTGGTCACTCATCTGGAATATCTAGGTCAGATCCAGCATCTGAAGCAAGTGTGGTAGTGTCCATCCCTAGATGTATCATCTATGCAAGTTTGTTCAAGGTAGAGCTAAGAGTTACTTGGGAATGGACCTGCTCCAAATACTTTAACCTGGTCACTCATCTGGAAAATGTGGGTCAGATCCAGCATCCGAAGCAAGTGTGGTAGTGTCCATCCCTAGATGCATCATCCATGAAAGTTTGTGCAAGGTAGGGCTTATAGTTACTTGGGAATGGACCTGCTCCAAAAACTTTAACCTGGTCACTCAACTGGAATATCTAGGTCAGATCCAGCATCTGAAGCAAGTGTGGTAGTGTCCATCCCTAGATGCATCATTCATGCAAGTTTGGTCTAGGTAGGGCTTATAGTTACTTGGGGATGGACTTGCTCCTAAAACTTTAACCGGGACACTGACGCTAATGCCGACGCAGGGGGTATAGCATAAGTTCATCTCAACTTCGTCGAGGTGATCTAAAAATAAAAATGGAACCAAACAACTTGGATCGTGGTTTTCAGTTATTTCCAGGAACCGTGACAGCCCTAGTACATTACTATGAAGTACTCCATACAAACTTAGTAATTATCATTGGCTAGTTCATAAGAAAATCATGCATCATTATCATTGATTATTGTATAATATGTATACAGATTGTATCTAAGAAACCTTACCGAAAACAATTTGAATGCCAATCACCTCCAAGGGTCTGAATAAAAGAATCGTCTTTCACGAGACTCCTGCATCTGACGCAGAATCCACTGTCTTCTAAAAAAATAATCATGAGAGAAACATATTTTGCTTGAAACTACAAAATATCACAATAATGCTGGCAATATGTGCTCAAATTTAAGGTAGGTTATTCTGGGAAAAGATACCATGTTGTTTTGTATTTTCATCTGAAAAAATACTATTATTTGAAGTTATTTTTTTTTTGGTCTTCTAACCTGTACAAAAAAGTACAAGTCGTGAGAGTACCTTGGACCCTACTATATGCCAAGATTGCAGAAATCAGTTTCTAATATTGATAATAAAAACCTGTCTAACTTTTCTTAACTACCTTCTTCAGCCTTTCTGGCAAGCTTGGAAAAACAACCTCAACAATAAAAGTTGTGTCCTACATAATTTTGCTGGGTCCATTTTGTAGATTCTTGGATTAATGTGAAAATTGCTGGTTCTACCAATCTCTTGAAAATAGAGTTGTTTCCAACTCAACTCCACCTTTCATTTTTTTTTTTTTAAACTTTCATGATGTTTTATATCAAGTGTGGCAAATTCCAAATGGGTAGTAAAATGTCTGAAAAAATGGTTGTGTTATGGTAGGCATGACAACGATAGTAATTTAATTAATTACCACTTTTGATTTCAAAATTCGAGCAAATATAAATTCTACGTAATTTAAAATGAGAAAATGGAAGTTGTTGTCTGAGGTCAAGCTATTAATAGCTACGTAGGTATTTAAACCTACCCAGAGTAGCTATTTTTACCTACTTTTTGTATTACTTGCATTTTGTGGCCAAACGGCACAACATGGTGAGTACCAAATTTCTTGATACAGTCACACTGATGATGAATACAACAAAATTTAGACCAAAAAATAATTACATCATAAATTGACAATTTTGCATTAATTACTATGCAAAATTGTTAATTTACGAAGTAATCCTTTTTTGGCTAAAATTTTGCCGTGTTCATAATCAGTGTGACTGTATCAAGACTTTCGGTAGTCACCATGCTGAGCCGTTCAAAATGCAAGTAATACAAAAAGTAGGTAAAATGAGCTACTTTGGGTAGATTTAAATACCTACGTAGCTATTAATAGCTACCTAGGTAGAAATAGTCTTTGGACTGGACCTGTTCAATATGTATACATATTTATCGGTTTAGAAACCAAGACCCAAGTACCTGTGGTACTCACAAGGATTTGTGTACCTTTTCTCTAGCAAGTTGTTTTTGACTTTGTTTACAAATCGTGTGCTACTTCCGATTCTTCTCCATGTGTATCTGCTATATGTATATCAGAGAGCATAGCGGATAAGATAACCCTGTGGCTGGACCACAGGAGTCGGCAATTTTGTCAATAAACTGAAAATAAATGATAAACAGGCATAAATCCTACCAGTGAGCTTCGCGAGCGTAGCGAGCGAAGCTACGCTCGCGAAGCTCACTGGTAGGATTTATGCCTGTTTATCATTTATTTTCAATTTATTGATAAAATTGCCGACTCCTGTGGCTGGACCTGTTGAAAGTCCCCGCCCCCACCCCTCCTCCAGCACTGTCTTCATGTATTAATCATTGATCGATTCAGCAAATTAAACCAATGGTTCAGAAATCTATTTGTATCTTAAAGTGGCTACATCGTTAGCTCACCTATCGTTTTAAAAGATAAGCTTGTACCTGTACTATGACAGTCTGTCATTTCATGAAGTTCCTCGACATCTAACGGCTTTATTTACCTCCACCTATTGAAGATGCGTCAGAGTGCGGTGCGTCTATTTACACAAAAGGGCCTTAAAAGACCCATCCTCCCAAATCTTTTCAAAAACAACAAAGAAAAACAAAATATCATTACACAAAAAACCCTAAGAGAACAAAAAAGTAAGGATAACATAAAAGAGATCGAGAATTCTATCGTCTGTAATCTTTTTATCAATTTTTCAATCTAATTTATAAATATTTATGTTTTTGGTAAATATTTATATAGTGAATATTTTCATGACATCAGCCAGATCAATTGATCCCTTCATGTAAATTACTACGCAAGCGGATCAAGGGATGAGGTGCAGGGGCGGATCCAGCACTTTTTCAAAGGGGCTTCCAGGTGGTGCCCCCCCCCCCCCCCCAATACACACATTCAGTCAAACATAGACTCAGCAGGCCCCAAGAATGCCCCGCTTATTTTATGAATATAGTCTTTTGCTTTAGTTTTAATATGAACATTTTCGTTTAGATGATGGTTTCCACAGGTGCTTGAGGACAGGACCCCCCCCCCCCCCGACCCCGGGCCGTTTCGACTTTTTTTTCTCATAAAATATCTTTCAATGTCATATTTTTTATATAATCCATACCATCAATTCGGAAAAGTTATAGCCTAAACAAGAATTTCATGCTTTTTCTATCAGTGACCTTCAACTTCCCGGAATGACACTTAGTAAAGGTCATGACACACTCTCAGGTCATAAACAATCTTTGTACCAAGTATGAGCTTCCAAAGATTTTCTATTATAAAGTTATAGCTCGGACAAGAATACTATGCTTTTTCTGTCCTTGACCTTGAATTTGCCAAAAAGTCCTTGCATCAAGGCCATGACATACTCTGGGGTCATAAAAAATTTCTGTACCAAGTAAGAGCGTCCAACGATTCTCCATTAATAAGTCATAGCCCGGATGAGATAGCACAGACAGACGGACAAGATGATTCCTATATACCACACTATCACAATTCTGACTAAACAAATCAATAGTGTTTGAGCACTATTAGAAACCCAATCCCATACCCCTTAACACTGGCCTCTTATTTTTTGAAGAACATTTTGATGTAGAAAGATAAGGCATTCTTGTTTCTTTATTTATCTAATATTTACAACTCTATCCGACCAATAAAAACTATGTAAGTACTTTTTCTATCACAAATGATTAAAATTCTTGTACAATTCTCTTCAATTGAGTTTTCAATTACATTTATCATTATCAAAGGTGAATAACAAAGGGAAATAATTTGAATTCTCTCAGTATACTAAAAAATTATCAGATCCTCACCTTAGCACCAGAGGCCCTAGACCCAGGGGCCCAAAAATTCACAATTTTGGAAGAGACACCCTTAATCATCATAACAATGCACTAAGTATGTTTGCTAAATACCTAGGGGCAGAAAAGAAGATTTTTAAAGAAGTGATGCATTTTCACAATATATTGTGAACAAATTAAAGGAATAGATGCTGTTTAACATTAGTAACATTAGTAACATTATTAATCACAAATTCAGTCTTGCATTCCACCATATTTCAAGTTGAAGTCTACATCCTATATTTCTATATTCTCAAACGGTTGCTTCCAAACTTTTCAATTATACACAAACCTTGCAGTGCCTACAGTAGATATTGTACGTCTAACCAAAATCCTCTTATGTATTCTTGCTCTTCTTCTTTCAACTATAGTGTGCTGCTGAACACTTCATTACTGGTGGTAATTTAGTTGAAAATGACGGCCTAAAAGCAATCATTTAAAAAGGGTCTAATTATAAGAGATCTTTCAATTGGCGTCAGAACTATATTTCAGTTATGTATTCTGTCGAAGATTATGACAGATGTTGGGCGAAATATGAATGGAAGACCTGAACACTTTGTCAGAATGAATTAAGTGTTTTAGAAATATATGAAAGAATCGTTTTAGAATGTTACAAGACACTAAATCAGAGGTGGTAAAATAACTAGAAAGACTACATGAACAATATGCTACGGTTCCAGCAGACGAAGCTTATAACAATACCGTCTTTGTTTGTTTAACACTCCTTTGAGATTTTTTTCACTCGTATTGAGACGCCACCACTTGCTGATTGAGGGCTGCAAATTTAGTCCTGTACCCGGCAATTCAGCAGTGAGGGATCTTTTTCGTGCAAACACCCACCGCCACCTCGGTTTATACGGTCTCATCCGAAGGACCGGTCTCCGCGACACACGGTGGATTCGAACCCGCGACGTAAAGGCCGATACACACGGTAAGATTTGTTTTATAATACTCGTATCTAAGATTTTTCGAATCTCATAAAACTGTACTGATTAAGAATAGAGCAATGTTCTATTTCTTAATACAAATCTTAGCTGATCTTTTATCCCAACCAATCAGATGGTTCTGTATGTATAGCAGGGTCATGTATTAAGCATCCTATTTTTATCCGTCCGTCTGTCTGTTTGTATTTCTGTCTGTGTGTAACACTTTCGTTTCCGGGCAATATCTCGAAAAGCTTCTGAGCTTTTGCAATGAAATTGTATATCCCAACTCCATACGGTCTTAAGAAGATCTCTATTGATTTTGAGGTTAAAATATCAAAGGTCAAGGTCATAATTTCACATTTTCTGCCTGTGTGTAATACTTTCGTTTCCGGGCGACATCTTAAGAAGCTGTCTCAAACTTTTGCAATGAAATTTTATACCACAACTTCCTATGGCATAAAGAAGAGCATTTTTGATTCAGAGATCATAAATTCATAATTCTGTCTGTAACACTTTCGTTTTCGGGCAATATCTCAAGAAGCCTTTGAGCTTTTGCAATGAAATTTTATAGCACAACTTCCTTTGGCATAAAGAAGACCCCTATTGATTTAGAGATCAAAGTTCAAGGTCATAATTTCATATATTCTGTCTGTGTGTAACACTTTCGATTCCTAGCGACATCTCAAAAAGCTGTCTCAAACTTTTGCAATGAAATTTTTACAGACACAAATACCTGTGGCCCCGCCCGCCCCTCTCAAAGTGTCCCACCCCTTGTTTTTTTTTATTTTGGTCAAGTTTAAAAAAAATCAAAATTCAGTTGGAAATTTGTTGGCATCGATCACGGTCAACGTCTCTAGAGTTACTCCTTGTTTGTATTAAAAATCGCATGGCACTATTTTTTAGCACGGGAGCATGTGGAGAATTATTTCATGTAATACCATCGCTGCAAACCACAGCCAAAATGTACGATCCTCTCCCATTCTGGAGAGAGCTATGAGCGGACTCCAGACCATGGCTTAAGACGATGATATAATATATAAATATTGCATGTAGTTGAGTGTAACATTGAAAATTTTCACCTCAAGAAAACCATTGGTGAATAACACGTAAAGCACCAATATGCACAAAGTATTTGGATACGCGCCCAAATTCACACAGTCGTTACGGCAGCTCAGTCGGCGGAGAGCTCGCTCCGTGATCGGAAGGTCGTGTGTTCGAATCACGGCTGCGAATGACCTAAGTCGATAAAAAAATAGGTAGCAACTGTTCCTTCGCGAAGCGCTCTGCACTTTGAACTGAAAGTAGCGGGTCCTTCGGATGAGACCTTAAAAACCAAGGCCCCATGTCAAGGTAGGCGTTGGCACGATGTAGAACCCTCACTGTTCAATGGCCCTGAGTGCCGAGTAAAGGTCTAAATTTGAAGCCCTTCACCGGTATATGGTGACGTCTCTATATGATTATGTGTGGCATGTACAAACGTTAACGTTCTCATAAAATCATTATTACAGTGTGATAAATGTGTTAAATGCATATAAAAAGAATCTTCGATTTCTGTACACATTTTAAAGAATAAGCAATCAAATCTATACATGTATATACAAATTGGCATTTACAATGTGAAAATTTTGTTTAAGATCGTTATGTAGATGTGTACAGTAATAGAAAATAAAAAATAAAATTCGCCCACCCGCCAAATTTTTTAAAGCAAATTTGAAAAAAATCTAACTTTACATTTATGTGGCCAAAAGCTGAAAGAACAAGGTTGACATTTTTCTTTCTCCATCTGCATCCCCCCCCCCCCCCATTTCTTCCACCCTCTTCCAGGCGCGGATTCAGGTATTTTTTCCAGGGGGATCCGCCCAATCAAAAATTTCCAATCCAGAAATTTCTTGACAAGCCAAAAAAACCCCCCCAAAAAACAACAACAACAACAAAACACGAAACACCCCCTAAACCCCTTTCCCAACCGTGATAAAGCTATTTCTTAACAGGGGTTCCACGTTTTCTAAGGGAGAGGGGATCCAAAGTCATTTTAATTGCATCAGTATATACATTTGATAACTTTGCAAATTCCAAGGGGGACACCCCCCCCCCTCTAGATCTGCGCATGCTCTTTTTTTTTTCCTTAAGCGGGGGGCACAAATTCTCAAAATTAGCTTGTTTGTCCTTTGCTTTTATACTTAATTTGACTACCTGATCAATATATAGGGTTCACGGCGGGTGTGACCAGTCGACAAGGGATTCATCCTAGGCACCTGATCCCACTTCTGAAATTTCCGAGGGTCCACATTTTATGCCTTGTTAACAGATTTGTACTGTTTGTAGGCGTTTTTTAAATTTCTTTTAGATGAATCACTTTTCATTACCTTCACATTTTTCATAAATAAGATCATTATTTACACCTTTATCCGATACAATTTCTTTAATGTTCAAAAAACATTTTTCATTATGTATAAAAGGTCCTTAAAATTTTATGGTAGTTTGCTTCTTTCCCGTTGCAATATTGGCTACATAACATTGAGAGTACCGGTCTATCTTATTTATTTTAAAATATTCAGTATCAAATTATCAATCCCGGTTTCAGAAGTTCACTGATAACAGAGGTACAACCCTAAAAATCTAAATTGTATTTTCCTTTCCCTTATTTGAATTATTCCTACCGTTTTCCCGCTTAAGGGTGACTTTACATAGATGATAAAAAAAATCCCACTGATAAGAATGAGAAACCACTTATTGAACTTTGTAGAGTTATTATTGACGTTCTACGCTTTGTAGACCGCAAAGCGGTAAGTAAGTAAGTAAGTAAATAAGTATCAAAACTGAAAAAAGAATTGCTCGCAGAAAGTCATCTGCATAAAATATCTCAATGCGACAAACTCGTCCGACTAGAAGCAGCAAGAAGGTTGCATAAAATATCGGTGGGGTTAATACCCCTACCCTCTTTCTAATTTGAAATAATCAAAAACTATATTCCATTTACATCACACAATTGTACATGCACCATGGTGTATTCACTATTAAAAACCAAGATGTATTTGTGAAACACTGATACCCCCGTATGGCAGCTTATGGCGAAGGTTAAAGTTTCTTAAATGCAAGTCAAACTCCTGGTCAAGAAATCAGAAATGTTGGTACCTAAAGAAAGGTCTTGTCTCCAGGAATATACCTGTAAAATATGAAAGCCCTAGTACAAACCGTTGAAAAGTTATGGCGAAGGTTAGAGTTTTTTTAAAGTAAGTAAAACGGCAAGGTCAAGGTCAAATGGTGCCCAAGGGATGTTCTTGTCACAAGTGATACACATGATCGTGAAATGTGAAAGCCCTAGAACCAAACGTTCAAATGTTATGGCCAATGTTAAAATTTTTAAAAGTAGGTCAAACTCCAAGGTCAAGATCAATGCCAAAATAGTTGGTTTCCAAAGGAAGGTCTTGTCACAAGGAATATACATGTGAAGTATGAGAGCCCTACCACCAACTGTTCAAAAGATATGGCCAAGGTTAAAGTTTTTCAAAAGTAGGTCAAACTCCAAGATCAGGGTCAAAGTTGTTGGTATTTAAAGGCAGGTCTTGTCACAAGAAACGCATATGTGAAGTATGAAAGCCCTAACACCAACTGTTCAAAAGTTATGCCCAAGGTTAAAATTTTTCAAATTGAAGTAGGTCAAACTCCAGGGTCAAAAGGTCAAAGCTGTTGGTAAGCAAAGAAAGGTCTTGTCACAAGGAGTACACATGCAAAGTATGAAAGACCTAGCTCAAACTGTTCAAAAGTTATAGCCAAGGTTAAAGTTTTTTCAACAGTAGGTCAAACTCCAAAGTCAAAGGGTCAAAGATGCTGTTATCCAAAGGAAGGCCTTTTTATAAGGAATACACTTGTGAAGTTTGGAAGCCCAAGCTCCAAATGTTCAAAAGTTATGGCCAAGGTTAAAGTCTCGTAAAATTTTCCAAAAGTGGGTCAAACTCTAAGGTCAAGGTCAAATATGATGGTATCCAAATAAAGGGCTTGTCACAAGAAATACACATGTGAAATATGAAAGCCATAGCTCCAATCAATCAAATGTTATGGGCAAGATTAAAGTTTTTGCGGACAAACAGAGACGGACGAACAGGGCAAAATTATATGCCCCAAATTTTCGATTACGGGTGCATAAAAAGAATAATAATAAAATTAAAATTCAACGAAGCTGAGTATTCATACAGTGTATGACTAAAATATAAAGAAATGAATTTAACGACTCTAACTTCTCAATCGTCAACTTCCCTTACTTATGCAGCAATATACCTTCATCACCTGCATACGGAGTTTATATCTCTCAGTTGATTCGATACGCAAGAGCATGCTCTACGTTATGTACAATTTCTAAAACGAGGTAAATTATTGACAAATAAGTTGATGAAAGAAGAATATCAGCAGTCTCATTTAAGGTCATCATTTCGTTAGTTCTATGGTCGATACAATAACCTTGTCAGCAAATACAATTTATGAAATGCTGACTGACGTTTTTCATACTAATTGTTAGGCCATTATTTGCACACTGAATTGTCGACGGATTTTTCCGTTATTTTTTAACCTTTCCTGTAAGATGCCATACGGGGGCATCAGTGTTTCACAAAGTCATGTTAAACGTTTAATTGAAATCGCAAGAGTTACCCCCTCCCCTCCTCCCATGTGTTGTACGTCTTAAGATCAAATGGCACATTCCTCGAAAATATATAATTTTTCTCAAGAATTTGTCACTGAAGTATTGCTACTTGAATAAGTTTCCTCACAAAAAATTGAGGTACCTTACCAGGTATTTCAGCAATATACCAGAGGGTGATATTTCTTTTATATAAATCCTTATCGGTAATCTGTCACAATTTTTGGTGTACTTATTTTTAAAACATATTGAAAACAAATTAGCAATCACAAGGGAATGAATATTTTTTATATAGTACCAAGAGATACAAAACATGTATTTGAGGTACTTGTCGTCTGACCTTAAAAGCATACGACGGCAATTCAAGAAAACCGCCCAATTTTTCTACCCGCGCATTGAACAGAAATTTTGATTCTGCGGAATTATTACCCCGCGGAAAAAAGGTAAAAAGTACATTTATTGTATTTCCGCCTTATATTAAAATTATAATAAATTACAAACATGTGTGCAATAGGAAAAGAATAGAGGTATTTTTTGATTGTGACGCAAATTGGTGGGGAAAATTAGCCTGTTGTCCCTGATAAACACGATTAATCAAATATCGTCAACTCTATTCACCATTTACAGATATGTCCTCTTGGTGACAAAGATCCGCCAAAGCACCTCCACCACTTTAGTCTCGTTTTTTGCCATTTTCGGGTCGATTTTGAACTACTGGATCAGAAAAGATGAAATTTACGTGAAAGCTTTCTGACATAATGTAGATTCTAAATTGTTGGCCCCCTGGAGTAGGGTTGGCCACAATAGGGTGTCTTAATTATCCAGTGGAACAAATAGGAGAAAGTTTTTAAATCTGAAATGTTGAAACTTACGTAAAAGCTTATTGAAAAGGAAAGTAGGTTATATATTAAATTCAAGATAATATACAGTAGTACTTGACCGACATCATCTCATTTGTGATGCAATATTTAAGTTGCAAGCAGTAACTGTGGTACAAGCCTTTCACAGTTTATTGGCTAAATCTATTCAAAGAAGATATTTCGTGGTGCAAATTACTCTATTAAATTTTCTTCAGCTTAGCGTCAATAGAGGTACGAGAGGGAGAACATTTACATACACAGTAGTATAAAACTGTGTCCTCCATTCCCAAAAAATAATGACGCCATTTTGGAGACATTGGGGTCGTCAGTGCATTTCTGGCTTAGTAAAGTGCTGTCTCGCAGACAATTATGGTCTTTTGCTTTAGCTAATACTTAACCGAAGTCCAATATACCGGTATATCTTTTCATACACAGAACAAGAGGACCATGCTCGATCACCTTCGTTCTAGTTTTCCAGTGTGAAAATTTTCTCAGTGTGCCAACTGAACCATTTAAAACTTTTGATTCCGTATGGTGGCTCCATCTTACCCCTTGGGATCTCAATTTCTTTCCATTTCGGTATATTCCTTTTACAACCATATGAGGTCTCCTTCTACCCCCTTCCATAATAATTAAAAACTATTTTAATCGTCTAAGTCAGCTTGCACATCATTGTTCTTGAAAAGATCCTCCCATACATGTATTTTGAACACATTCTGTATGGTTCCACCCTTCCCCTGCAGGGTTGGCCGGGAAATACCAGTGGTGGGAATTACCAGTGGTAAATACCGGTATTTCTCGTCCCGGTAAATACTACAATTTTTCTCTACAATGAGAAATATTGGGGAATGCAAAGTTAAAGTTTTTTTAGTTCTTTAATTTATTCAATCTTTTACAAAATTCAGAAATAAAATATAGATGAATGATATTGAACATGTCTCAGAGTGTATCACTACTCCAGGCCCCCTTCCCATAAGCATTCTGTAGCAGAACATGTTCCCCTGGCTGTATTTCAAGAACATCACTCGTTTTCGAATTCAAGTTTCTCTTCAGTTTTATTAAATCAATAAGTTTATCAACTATAAATCAAGAATAAAATTAATTTGTTTCAATTAATCCTTCTATAAACACCTTAGGTATTGCAATCAACCATGTTGTTTTTAACAAATTGCTCTAGACAGTTTTGTGTTCCTGTTTTGAGAGATAATTACCTTGAGTAGACCTGAAAGTCCTCTTTTTACTTCTGGGTTTGATATTTACACCATGTTCATGATATTCTACATTTAACAATTTTCTTTGATCCTTCTTTAGTTACATAAAAAAAACAACAAATGGGATCTTTGGGTTCATTTCATGGACCTTTCTAGAAAACAGCTAACTCAAGTATGAAATACTCATGGCTGGTATACGATTATACTGTGTTACGATTATTAAAGATGAATTAAGAAACCAGAAATTTTTAAATCAGGGACGGTGATACCAGAGGCCTGTTTAACAGAGCAAACGTTCTCGAGCGCTCGCCAAAATTCCTAATACCTCCAACAAAAATGTTCGCAAGCGCTCGCGCTGTTGAACAGGCCTCAGGTAGATATCTTAGCCAATAAGGTGTACTACGTCTGTACCTTGACAAATATTATCAAAATTATAAATATGTAGCTACATGTCGCTATTTCTTATTCCCCAGTATTTCCTGGGAAATACTAGTAATTCCCGGGAATTACCAGTATTTTCCATTGTCCTGGGAAATTTGAGTATTTCCCGGTTTTTGGCGAACCTTGTTCCCTTGCGGCCATGATTTGATTCATTCTTCTCCAATACCTGAGGATGCTTCATTACTACTGACTAGCCATGACGCTACTGTGATCAAGAGTTTTTCCCCTAATGTGGCCCAACCCTACCCCATGGGTCATGTACTAAACAAGTAAGGAACTACATTATGCAGGAAACTATTACATATTCCAATTTTTCTAGACCGATGGTTCTGCAGAATGATTTTTCACAACCCCATCCATCCCCCCCCCCCCCGCTTAATTGTGGACATGGCCCTTCATTTGACAACTTTTAATGTTTAAAAATTTACAGACACGGACATGTCAGCCAATGGGTAATCAGAAAAGCTCACTAGTGTTTATAGCTATGGGGAGGTAAAAATGACATATCCTCCAGCAATGTACAATAAAACTAAAAGAAACTTGTTGTAAGAATATTTATTGAATGAGCTGAAATAAAAGCTGCAATAAATATAGTGAAAAATATACATAATTTTGTTTATCAAAGCCCTTGGAAATGTTTTCTTTTCTACTATGTGCTTTCATAAATCATTTTGGTATTCTTCACTATCTACAATTATGAATTCCCTGTGAAGAACCACCTTTCAGTGCATTCCTCTTTGATGCCAAAAAAAAGACACATACACCCCCTTTACCTTGTTATTTAACCAGATATTCTTACCCACTTACCAAATGCCTATCCATTGCTTACTCCAAAAAGAATCCTCCTCAGAACTTCCTGAACAAGTTGCAAGATCCCATGAGAAGCAAGATCCGACTCAATATGCTATAATTATACCTTATAATAGATGTTTTTCCACAATTACTATAGCACTAAGTGTCCTGCTCAACTGAAACTCATTTGTAAACCGTTTTAAGAATACCTGTTTGGCTTTTTTTTTGTATTTAGGGACCCTTAACCACCCTCCATAGAAATAATACATCTTTTGTATTTTGCCACTGATATTTTTTGAAAGGATATCTGTTTCCTTTCAAAATCCTACTCCATGATGTAAATGTGATCCATCCATCCACTCCTCTCATGTTTCCAACTGGGCACCTAGTGTTATTCCCAGCATAAATTTATCCTGAGTAGAGCAAATCCTTCCATAAATTAAAAGGTGTCCAAGAACAAAAATGGCAGTGAACAAAATTGCTCAAACAGTTACTAAAATAACGTACTTCTTTCTTCTGACAAAAGGGCCAATGGACCACAATGCTCACATAGTCAACATTTCTTTTCTGACAAACGAATATGTATATGTAGATAATGTGGTCTCCAAATTACAGTCCATGTTTTGAGTAATTGCGTATGTTGAGGCTTAATGACAACTTTACAAATTGCAGCTTTTTATATTTTATTCTTGTGAACTTTAAGACACTTTCTCCCCAACAGTGATCCAGTCCTTGTCCCAAGGCCATAATTAGAACATAATATGGGGATTCTGAACTATTTCATCAATTCTGACCCTGCTGTTCTTGAGGAAAAAAAAACAAACAACATTTTCATAGATTTTTCCCAACATCTTTCCCATATTCAATTTTGCCTCCTTTATTGTGTCCCTACCCTTGCACCAGAGGTCATACTTCAACACAGCTAATTCTAAACTATGTCTGGCTTTAGCATAGTGTGTAAAATGTTGCCGATCTTTAAAAATTATTTAGAATTTTAGGAAGTTAATCTTATTTTTTCTATCAAAATCTGGTGAAACCAAAGTTTACCGATCGTCCATACCAAACGACTTAACAACATTAATTAGATGTGTGTTTTTTTTTTTTTTTTTTTTTTTTTTTTACATGTGTACATTCTGTTCAATCAAAAAGTTTTGTTATAATCTGATGAATGATATTTTTACTGCTCTCTTTTTATTGATGGAGAGTCTTAGAGGCATAAAAAAAGATTGAATAAAGTCTGTATTTTTTTTTATCACAGAAATGATCAAGTAGCACAAAAACGGAAAAATGCAAGTGAAACTTCAAGTTTGCTGGAAGATTTTTTTTCCACTAGCCAACATATGCCAGTAAACATAGAAATGAATTTCAACCCAAGGAAGGATGGACACCAGACACTCTTTGATCATAAATTTTGGATCATGTAACCTTAACACAGAGAGAAAGTAGAGCAATTTTCTTTACTGTCAGACTTTCCTTGGAAATTGAGCCTTAACCCTGAAATGCCTAATAGGATGGATTCCTTAATTCCAAAAATCTTCAGTTTGGGCATCGGGATCCATCCGCACTGATTCCATAATTTGAGAGGGAGAGATAAATCCCAAATCCAGATCCCTTGATCCCAAATGATCCAAGCTAGTTATCCCAATTATCCAAGCTTGTATCCTAATATCCAAACATGATTATCCAATGATCAAAGCTTGTTATCCTAAATATCCAAGCTTCCCATCATATTGATCCAAACTTTCCAACAGAGCAAAAACCTTAAGAATAGAAATTTGAAAAGATTATATTATGAATGATAAAAAAGTGCATGTTTTAATGTTTTTCTCACATCATGAAATGAAGCCTATGTGTATACAAAATTGGATAAAATTGATAACAGTAAATGTATGACAGTGTAATAAAAATGACCTGACAAGCAAATTGTTTCTGTACAATAAAACTGCAATATAAGACAGTGGCCACATTATTCTTCTAATGTCTACACTACAGTCATTGCTTCATATGCACAGATCATAAATATGCATACCATTAACAGTCTTCAAAATGGATGTGATATGATAACTTCTCTCTGACTCCATTTCTTCATGATCCTGGGACCCTGCAAAGTTTACAGTCAAGTTCATAGCTATACAACATGATCAAAGACTTAAATTACTTCTACCATAAAATAAAATTTCAGACTATTTGCTATGAATCATTTCCTTTTGATTTAATAGGAAATATATTGAAAACTAGAAAACTGACAAGTCAGCTACGGGATGTGCATTTATGGTGGTGATAATGGGAAACAAACTTGAAATGTAAACAAGAAGCTCAAGGGCCTTAACGATCACCTGAGTATTAAACAACATTGTAAAGAAGTATAAAATATAACAAAATTTACTGAAAGATCAAGATATGTTGCCAAAAAGCAAGAGAAATATAATGATCGGGGATCAACAAAATAGTTATGTCTACTGCTCAGTAACAAATTGAAAGATCTATTTACTTGCCTGTACTTCCCAATGCTAATACACTCCCATTTGTCACTATCACCATGCAGACTGAACCAAACAACTAATGTTGCTTGAGCACATATAGTAAACTCATCTTATTTCCTCTCAAATTGGTCTCTTTTAGTCTTTTAAGAACATTTATTGTACAAAGATTAGGTATTATGTCTCATTGTTATTCATCTTTTATTTACAAGTCTACCTGACCATTAAAAACTATGAAAGCACTTTTTGTATGACACATTAAAAATTCCTGCATGATTCTTTTATGCAACTGACTTATCAATTACATTATTTACAGTGATTAACATTCTAAATAAATAGCAAATGGGAATAAATTTAATTCTCTCAATAGACTATGATTTTCCCTACAAGATCAATAGAGCCCTCCCCAGCACCAGATGACTTAACCTAGTGGTCCAGAATTTCACAAATTGGTAAAAAAACATCCTTGCTCTTTGTTACTTTGTACTGAGATTTTTTAAAGCACTATATTTTTACTACATGCTCAACAGAGTCCTGTCCTAACAAGTAACATCAGATTTTTAGAGGCATTGAATTTCACAATTTTTGAAGAGGCACTCTTTCTTATCATAATTCTTCACTAAGTTTATCTGATAATTACCTAGGAGAGAGAAGAAAATTTTCAAAGAATTAATGCATTGTCACTAATAATCAATAGAACCCTGCCCTAACATTAGAGTCCCTGATCCAGGGAATGACATCCATAATTTTGGAAGAAGCACCCTTTCTCATCATAACTCTGCACCAAGTTTATCTGTAAAATATACAGAGGAATAGAATCTTTTTTTTTAAAAAAGAATTTATTTTTACTATATGATCAATAGAGTCATATCTTAACTCCTAAACCCCTGATCCTGGGGCCATGAAATTCACAATTCTGGAAAGGAAATCCTTGCTAATCATGACCATGCACTTAGTTTGTTTTCTTAATACCCAGATGTAGAGAAAATGATTTTCAAAGAAATAATGCATTTTCACTATATCATCAATAGAGCCCAGTCCTAACACCAGAACCCCTGATGCAGGGGCAATGAATTTCACAACTTTGGAAGAGGCATCCTTGCTCATCATAATCATGCATAGTTTGCCTGATAAACCTACATGGGAAGAGAAGAAGCATTTTACAGAATTTCCTAATTTTCACTGTATGATCAATAGAGCCCTTTCCTTAAATCAGAACCTGGCAATGACCATGTATTTCATAATTTTGGCAGAGGACTCAAAGCTTGTTTCAATTTATCAACACTTTAACTGCTTGATGACCAGGAGTAAATAGGAAGAATTTTGAAATTTGCATTAATTCTGCAGGCCTTAAAGGAGGGGGGGGGGGGGGCAGGGACCATGAAATCCCAATTTTTGTCCCCCTTTACCCATAAATGCTCTGTAGAAAATCCTTTGCATATAATGGACTTGCATTCATTTTAAAAAGTATGCACCTATTTGGCATAAATGAATCCTTAAATGTGCTCAGCAGAAAATTTACAGTACTGAAGAACCTCAAGTCTCTGATGAAACTGTAGCTCTGTTGGTCTTTGGGTCATTTTTTTTTATCCCATGAGACCCTACTCCAGCACCAAGGGGTCATGAGTAAACCAAACCTGAATTCACATTAGGGTGCTGATAATCAATATGAATAATGTGGCCTTATTCTAAAGACCCCCCTCCTTTCCCCATACATGTGTGTTCTGAATAATATGGCCCCCAAATTTAGCCAAACTCTTGTGAAATAATTTGAACAAAAAAATTCTACACAACAAAGAAAATGTTTGCATATCATTTCAAATGATAGTGACCTTGCTACTTTTCCCCATTAGGCACTTACTATGTGACTGGGAGTGAAGAAAATTGCATGATTTTTCAATGGTTTCTGCCCCATCCCTCTTTCACGGGGTACTAGGACCATGAAATTTACAGGGTTTTTTTTTTTTTTCAAATCTTTGTCTTGTTGTCTATATATGATTTATATCAATTGGTTGAAATTGGTCACTCAAATCAATAATGAAGTTTAAAATGCTTAAAATTTCATGAACAACAACAGACGAAAATAGATAGCAGTGAGTTAAATAATTAGAAGTGCACATATACCTGTATTCCCTTTATTTGATGACAATTCAGAAGTGGACATGGACACAAAAATTCATTTAAAAGACACAATACTGGAAATCATTTAAATTTTCTTGACATTATGAGAGAAGTCCTTCAAACAATCTGTATTTTTATTCATTTTTGCTACAAATGCTGCATTTTGTGTCAGCATACATGTTAACGCTGCTGCTTTAGGCGGAAGTCTACTGCTTTTCTACTCTATCTCCTGCCAACTGCAAAACTATATCATTTTGTAAAAAAAATCCACTTTTGGTTTACTTTGGTAGCCATTTTCAAAACCACTAGGTCAGAAAATCTCGTTTTTAAGGTTGAACCAGGAGCATACGACACTTTCTTTTGTAGGGATGTTTACACAGATTCCAAGCACACGTTTTACAATGACAGGTGCAAGAATCTGTGTGATTACACTGCATATAATAAATTTTGTCGACATCCCTGCCAAGAAAAAGGGAGAGACAGTATTCTAGAACCAGGAGAAAACCTTTGGCTTTGTCCATAAAAGTAGAAAAAGGAATTAGCATTCATTTAATGCTTTTTTTCATGCTTTTTTTCATCTTCACTTTCAGTCATCAAGGGAAATCCATATCTTTAAAGGAATACAATTTAGTTTTAGATCTGAATGTATGGTGACATCAATTGCTCTATTTGGCAACTATATGAAATTGACAATTTTTGTTTCCAGGCTTTATAAAAAACACCACTCTTCAAATGGCTTACGCATCCACTCAAAGCTATTGTAATGAGCATGAAAAATATTAATTTGTATATCCTCGGAGGTCCACAAGTTGTTACCCTAATTTGATCGGGTCTGTTTTGTAAATAAATTTGAAATATTGTTTCAATTTGTAAATCACAACTTAGTTATGAATATTTTTTCTTCCAATAGAACTTATCTTTTTGAAAAATAATGCCTTGACTGTTTGCATCTCGTTCAAAGTACTGATGTGTATCCAGCACTATTTTGAAAAACAGGACTTACGGCCTTAATCTCAGCGGAAATGTCATTATAAAGGCCAAAAATTCCAATTCGGATATGTGACTTCTACTGATATAAAGTAAACAATGCATACGGTAACACCAATACACTTGACATAGGTCGTAAGAAAAAATATTGTAGACTTTCTTTTCAAACTTATGCCGTAATAGCGGATTTCTGCTAAGTGATGTGAAATTTTGTTTCAGACTATATATTTTTTTTTTTTTTACATGTTTTGACCTTATTATCGTCTGCAGTTGTAAAATATGCTAAAAGCAATCTAAATAATTTTCTAACCATGTTTGATGCAGCCGGGGACAAAATCTTGAGAGATCCTCAAGGAAAATAATAAGGGCACAACTCTAGGACCATAACAAATTTAGGGCCTCCGACAATAATATATGTTTTTGTTTACTTCATCACAGTTAATTCTAATTTTTGTAGTAGTCATTTCAGGCCTTATTTACATACATGTAAATATCTTCTCAAAATCAAAATGTAAAACACAATGCACAATTCTACCTCTTTTGAGGTCTGTTTCTCCCCCTTTTTCATCACTGTAGGTTAACATGTATCCTGTCAGTCAAAGCAAATTCGAAATATTAAAGCTTATTGTATGTAATCAATTCTTAAAGAATGTTAGTATGTTATAGAAATGAAATTTAAGAAGATATATATTTCAAATAAGTAATACCTTGAAATTATGATTAAGACCTAGATCGATTTCTGACAGGAGAATATCTGGGGGATGCCCTGGAGCGCCTTGGGGGTGAAGCACTCCTGCTTCGAGATCTTGATCTTCCTCCACCTCCTCTGTAATCTTCCTTTACTCGAATGTATGCCACTTCTCCCTAAAATGAATTTTAATTCAATAACTGAACCAGAAGCCTCTGATAAAGATGAAGCTCTACTGGTTTGTAATTATAATAAAGGAATAAAAAAGAAGGATCTGGAATTGGAAAATATTTCAGTCTTATAGTTACATATACAGAATCAGGTATCCTGATGTATTCTAAACATATATCAACTTTTGTTTATTAACAAAAGGCCCAAATGCCTTCACAGTGCAGCGGTTTTTTTTTTCTTTATATAACTTGTACCAAAAAACGGTACCGTTCCCAATGCCAAAAAAATTCCCAATTCAACTGCCAAGAAACGAAACAAGAGGCCCAGGGGCCACATCACTCACCTGAGCACTGTGGCTAGGAAAAGAGGAAAAATCTGTTTAGTATTGAAAAGCTTAAATGCATAAGTGGTGCCAACCTACCCCTAAAAGGGAGTGGGGGGTATGATTTGAACAAAATTAAATCTACACTAAGTAAGGATGCTTACATGATTTTTTGACTGTGACTTTTTTCTCTACAAGTTTGAACTTTCATTGCGGCCCCCTCCTACCCCTGGAGGTCATGATTTGAACAAACTTGAATCTACACCACCTGAGGATGCTTCCATATAAATATGACCAATCATAGCTTTGCTGTTCTTGAGAAGAAGATTTTTCCTATATATTGCTACGTAAAACTTTGATCGTCCATTGTGGCCCCACCCTACCCCCGGGAGTCATGATTTGAACAAACTTGAATCTACACCACCTTAGGATGCTTCCAAATAAATATGACCAATCATAAGTTTGCTGTTCTCAAGAAGAAGATTTTTGAAGATTTTTCCTATATACTCCTATGTTAAACTTTGATCGTCCATTGTGGCCCCACCCTACCCCAGGGGGTCATGATTTGAACAATATGAATCTACACCACCTGCAGATGCTTCCAAATTAATATGACCAATCATAGCTTTGCTGTTCTTGAGAAGAAGATTTTTGAAGATTTTTCCTATATACACCTATGTTAAACTTTGATCGTCCATTGTGGCCCCCGGGGGTCATGATTTGAACAAACTTGAATCTACACCATCTGAGGATGCTTCCATATAAATATGACCAATCATAACTTTGCTGTTCTTGAGAAGAAGATTTTTGAAGATTTTTCCTATATATCCCTATGTAAAACTTTGATCGTCCATTGTGGCCCCACCCTACCCCCGGGGGTCATGATTTGAACAAAGAATGGGTGGACTTAACGCCCTATTTTGGATCTTTTTGCGACTACTCTACCAAGCTGTAAATGAAGTGAATCCAAAATATATTACAAGCAATAGAAAGAGTTACGTATACATGGTTATATTAGGTAGAACATTTGTACAAAAGCAATGCCCTGTTGCCATGAATCAAAATTGAAGCAACGATACATTAGTGTCGTCTTCCGGAATTTGGCATGTACCCGGAGTGGTTTTTAGGTCACGTAATCAATATTAATAGAAGGCGGGGCTATCGATCGGCGTCATTGTTGACATCTCTCTCTCTCTCCCTCTCTCTCTAGAAATTCGAATATGTGTATGGCATATTACAGCGATGTCATTATGAAATTAAAAAGAAAAATGTGTGGAAACGCAAAATTAAAACAACATTTAATTTGCTAAATTCTGAAAACGGCAACCAAACACGCTCAAAGATGTGATTTAGAACGAGGTCAGGTTGAAGAATACAGTGTAACTGTTTTCACGAGTACACTCGCAGGTGGACATCACGTGATGAATTGTGATATCTAACAGGTCAATCGAAGTCAAATCTAGGTTAACTCAGTCATAACAATGGAAACGAGAAGTTTGTTTTGAACATGTTTTTTGTTAAATTAAATGTGAGCGCACGTTTGTCGGCTCTTCTCCTTTTAATATGACATTATTTTGTTCAATATACAACTACAGTTTTCTTAAGAACAGCCGACAAACATGCGCTGACTATGTATTCAGACGATGAAAAACGCGTGACCCTGATTATCTATTGATATTCAAGAAATCTTCAGGCACCATGCCTTCGATATTTATTTAGTTTACCTCGAAAAGAGCGTTTTAAATTCACATCTGTACCATGAATTCACGGTTAAGATATCGGAGATTTATATGATGGAAAGAAATAATCATTTTATGAAACTTTAATTTACGGCATTTTTTCTGGCCAGTTAAGTCCACCCATTCTTTGAGTCTACACTACCTGACAATAATTCCACATGAGTTTCATCTTTCCTGGCCCATTGGTTCTTGAGAAGAAGATTTTTCAATAATGCCATTAATTTTTTACTATATCGTAATTATCTCCCCTTGGAGAGGGGCGTGGCCCTTCATTTGAATAAACTTGAATCCCCTCCACCCAAGGATACTTTGTGCCAAGTTTGATTGAAATTGGCCCAGTAGTCCTGGAGAAGAAGATGAAAATGTGAAAAGTTTACGACAACGCCAACGACGACGACAACAACGACAGACAACGGACAAATTTCCATCATAAAAGCTCACTTGAGCCTTCGGCTCAGGTGAGCTAAAAAAAAAAAACTTGCTGTTTATTCTTTGAAACATGGTATATTAGGTAATTGGTTGGAATAAAAGCAAAATATGTTTCATTTGTATAAATGACAGAAATTTCTCCTTTTTCCTACTTCAATGCTATTTTTCCAATTGAACCAGTAACGGACACTTTACCAATGGGTAGAAAAAAATCGCTGCAGTGACCTAAGTATCATAAGTTTCACAGGCTATGGCCACTTTAGGCCCAGCTGGAAGTGGTCTAGATTTTTGTGACAATAATTTCAATTGATGGAGGTCTCTATAATCGGTCAATTGGAGTCACATGCTGGCGGTTTTACCTGTCACAAACATTTTAAATCAGCCTTTTTTTTACAACTCTAATGTCCAAGAAATCAAAAACAACTACCTCATGGGATCTAAACTTGGAATCATCTAGTTTGCGTACAGCATATTTCATGTCTTCTTTTCTGAGAAATTCCACCACTCCAGTTCCATCTTTGTAGACATCAGCATAACACACATCTCCTGCTTCCCTCATGTGATCTTTGAGATCTTGCCAACTACCAGAAGGAGGTAATCCTACAAAACAAATGAAGTTGTTTTAGTCTCACAATGTTCAAATCTTCTGCATGCTTTTAGTAAATATTACACTGAAATAAATTATAGTCATAAATAAAATAACCCTTCACTCTAAACAAGAGGCCCATGGGCCAGAACACTCAACTGGGTTACCTTGAGCCTGCTGTTTCTCATCATGTTTTTCGAAAGATTTTTTTCCTCTTTATATCCATGAAAATTTGTCCCTATATTGTGACTTCAACCTAGCCCCAAGGAGTCGAAATGAATCTGAACTTAATGCACACGACATGGGGATACTTTAATATCAGTATGACTAACATTGTTGCTACTCTGAATTTTATCCCTCAATACATGCATCATGTAAAAAAAGATCCCTGGTTTTAGTAAATACCACATCTCAGGGGTTCAAAATTTGGCCGATGGGCCTTCACTGTCACCTGAATACATTAGAACTCAATTATAGCAAAGTTCTGGGACCTGCGAATTTGATTCATTACATCCATAATTTGTTATATCCGTATAATGAATTTGTTAAAGTATACATAAATTCTCAATGTAGATTTTTTCCCTTCAAGTATGACTACCAAATGTATTTAGGGAAGTATAAAATACAAAATTTTCCTTGGGGTTCAAATGGTTTTGGATGAATAGAGTTTCAAATATATATGCTTAAAAAATTAATGTCAGTTCAATATTTTAAAAATTGAGATCTTTGAAAATTCACTAAAAAAGATGTACCATAATTTTCAGGGTATACGTTAGGGCTGGGACGATTCAGGGTTCAATCGATTCAGTCCGGTTTCGGTTCAGAATGATACGGTTCGTTTTTTTTCGATTCAGTTCGATTTAACCTTAAACAGTCCAAATATTTCTCATCATTAATGAAAAATAATAATCTCTGCTTTATAAACTGATTAAACCCCTTTACTTCAGTCCTCACAAAAACTTTTCTGAGACACTAACAAGTGGGGCTAGTAGATTTGATATTTTTACTGGCAAAAGTAAAATTTCTACTAGCCCAAAAACATAATAAAATTTGAAACTTTTGTTGTATTATTTTATTCCATCTACATTTCATAATGAATTACTCTTCTTTTCATTGTTCTTCTGCTTATTTCTCTATTTGCATTTTCTTCTGAGTAATTAATAAATAAATAATCAATGAAATTATTTAATGCAGAATTTAATAGAATGAACAATCATGTTTTGGATACCTTGTAACACAGCAGTATACATTTTTTTCTGATCATTGGACTTCGATCCTCTTCCAAAATGAAGTGAAAGCTAGTGATTTTTTTTTTTAAATTCAAATTATCAAATACAATGTTAATTTATTTTTATAACCCTTGTAAATATTTACTCTTCAGTGAACCAGTTGAGTAGTTGGAAATAATTTAATCAATTAATGTGATACCTTCATGTATTTTCCATAAAATTCATCTTCGCTAGCCAAGGGTTTCTGATACGCTACTCTCCTCATAAGCCCTTGGCATACGGTGTTAAAAAAAAGGTGGGATTTTTTTTCTCAAGTTGTGATTGGAGTTGATCGACATCGTTCGACCAATCAGCAATTGTTTTTTTGTAAATGACGATATTTGCGTTTGGGATATATCTTGAATCTTTAATATCGGTAATGTAAAACACAAGTAAACAATGATCCGTAAGATAACATTCCATTCTATGAATAGCTATATGGTGTCATCCAATATCTAAAGCTACGTGCAAAATATGTGATTAAGAATCTATACTGAAGGTGTAGATTTGCATTTTTACATGTTTAAATAACAAATTAACATAACTCGATACCTTTTTGTTAATTATTCTTTAAAAACAAAATTTTTTTAAATACGCTTTTTATTTCTGTCGATGACGCAATCTGTGCGTACCTGGTAAGAATCATGATCACGTGACCAAAACAATCCCATCTTTTGTCATCACCGTATGCCAAGGGTTTATGAGGAGAGTAGCGTATCAGAAACCCTTGGCTAGCGAAGATGCATAAAATTGGGATGGAGGAAATTCGGATTACTAAAAAAAAGACGATCCTTTTCATGGTCTTCAGAAATAAATAATGTAGAAATGCTAAAAGAATTAGATAGATGAGATTTATGAACAAGAGAACCACACTTCTTTGATTTTTTTTTTTTTATTGATTTGGGATTTAAAAGCAAAACGTGGAAAATACCTGTTACTTTTTCACTAGCCCGTCAGTTTATTCACTAGCCCATACCAATGTAAACTAACCTCTATTGTAAAAGGAAAAGACGTTTGTGGAATTAAAAAAACTAAATCACTGACTTCAAACTGGCACAATCATTATAAAGAGTATTAAAATCATCAAAACAAACACTTCCGATCTCCAATTGGCGGCCATTTTTGTTTGCATGTGTTATGTAAATTTTGAACCGAACCGAATTCCGGATCGGTGCACTGAATTGAACAGTATGAACTGCGGTGCACCGAAATTTTCTGTGCACCGCACAGCCCTAGTATACGTTGATTGCTTTATATAGGTTAAAAGGCTCATTTTTAGCCTTAATTTTTAAGAAAATCCTTAGATAGGGAGAAGTCGGAAGATTGGGCGAAGCCATTTTAAACGATGGAATTTTTACCTAAGATACTATGTATTGAAACATAATTGTATTCCCTGTGAAAATGTATTGAGCTAGTATATCACATTAATATTTTGTAGGTGTTTAACATCTAATTATGTTTAATTGCCCTGCCCTAACACCAGAACAGCTGACCCTGGGGTCATGAAATTCACAATTTTGGAAGAGGCACCTTTCATCATAACTATGTATTTATTTTGTTTGCAGGAGCAGAGAAGGATCTTTTCAAAGAAATAATGCATTATCACTATATATTCAACAGATCCCTGCCCTCACACCAGAATCCCTGACCCTGGGCCCATGAATTTCACAATTTAGGTAGAGGGCTCAATGCTTATTACATTCATGCCAACAGTTTGACTGCTTGATGTCCAGGAGTAAAGAAGATTTTTAAAGATTACATTAATTTTGGTGGTTTTAGCCCCACCCCTCAGGCCCCAGAGGGGTAGCGGTCATGAATTTAAAATTTTTTACTCCCCTTCAGACATATATTCTATATGCCAAATTTGGTTGAAATTGGTTCAGTGGTTCCAGAGAAGAAGCTGAAAATGTTTAAATGTAAACGCACAACGGACAACCCATGCCGATGGATGAAAACAGATAGCAATAGGTCACCTGAGTAAACTCAGGTGACCTAAAAACTGATATACAGATATACTGATATAAAATTTTTTTTAAAAGATTTCTTCCTACATATTTTCATATAAACTTTGATCTTCTTCTGTGGCCCCACCAACCTCCAAGTGCCATGATTTTAATAAACTTTAATCTACACACAGTCTGGAAACTTTCATAAAAGTTTCAACTCTTCTGGTGCAGTGGTTCTTGTCAGATAGACACTTAGCACTCTTTGATCAGGAAAGCTCACTTGATCCTTAGGGTCTGATGAGCTCAAAATCCCATTCAGTCATCATAGAAACTTAGCATTCTGTATAATAGAATATAAATGACTTCATAACACATACCAGATACCAAAACTCTGTATTCAGATCTTCTGGATGGAGGTCCGCCCCGACCTCCACCCATTCCACGACTGCTTCCACGGAAGCCACCACCACCACCATAACCCCCTCCTCCTGATCTTGGTCCCCCTGGTCCTCCACCTCGAGGAAATTCAACTCTCAGGGTGTATCCATCATAGTTATAACCATCTCTTTCATGAACTGCATCTGATGCATCTCTGGAAAGAACATAAAAGAGGCCCATGGCCCTTGACAGTCACTTGAGTTTCAGGGGTTTCTCAGACTATGAACATTGAGCCCCATCTGTAACTGGAAATCTAGACTTAAATAAATTTGACAAGGCCTAGAAAAAAAAGTTTTTGATTCTGCTTTCAGGCTGAAAAAAATTCGGTAGATGATAGCAACATATGAAATTCCATTCAGCCTGCACACCCAATTTGTACTAAATCGAGAGCGGACGTACAAATTTTACTCCTCATCGGCCCATTTGGGCACATTAGTTTTACAATATTCCCTCCATTTTTTGCACATTTATATGTCTTGAGCAATCTCTCACCAGAGCACTACAACACCTCTGTCAACATCTGAATATTACTTGGCAAAACTTACTTTGACCTATTGCATCATAAAACTTAAAGTGACAGTACGGCACATCTCATCAAAAAACTGACTTGATAAAATTTTCCGACAAGATTTGGTATTTTTTTACTGCTCATAAATGTATGAACTTTCAGAAAATTACAACTGTCACAATTAAATAATTTAGATTATTTCATTAAAATTAATAGTTATTTATGGGATGTAAATATATACATCGCAATGTGTTCGGGGTTCCACATTCCATGCTATACACGCATGCATACTTTTCATAAACAAAACAGCATGGTTAGAGAGGGAAGCCCGGTAGGCCTGCTACATTGACAAAGTCGACCAAAAAGAACAAGAAACTGAAAATAGAACTTGGAAAAAGCAACTTTCCTGACTAAAATTTAGTTTGGGGATTAATATAATCGCTGGATAAGGAAGAAATGGGAACTCGGTGACACTCGTGCAGGGCTCCCGAAGGTTCTATTCGACAGGCTTGTTATCATTTCTCATTTTTCCATCGCTTTCAAAGAAAAAAAATTAGTGTAAACTCATAATAAAAATACACCTTTGACTTATAAACATTGTTGCCATTTGAAGTGCTAATTTTTTTTAACTGTGCAGAAAAATATTTTGTTTGACATTTGCCGCTATAACGTATGATTAGTTGGTTTTTCCTTTCTCGGACCCCAATACACAAAACGTCAACATTTGTACTTTTAATTCTGTTAAATTCGCCTGAAAGCAGACTAAAATCTTTACAATTATTATTTTAGATTATTTTATCAGAAAGTTATGATAATTTGCTTTTGAAAATTGCTTTTACCTAATATTCATTATAATTGTAAACTATACAGTGTAGGCACGTGTCATTTTAGAATTCACGTGGTACTAATAAACAGATCTAAGATTGCTCCAGTTCGTACGACCCTTGATTTTCCGGCAGATTCTAATTACGTTAATTTTGTTTGAGTAGAGAATATTTCTGTTTCTCAAACTGCTTACAACAACTTTATACCTTATTTCTTAGTGACATATTGGGTAAATTTGAATGAAAAAGCACACATTTTGCAGCCGTACTGTCACTTTAATTTGACCTATTGCATCATAAAATATAATTTTAAAGTTATAAATTTAACTTTCAATTTCAAATTAAAGTTTATTTATGAAAATTAGAAAAAAGATATATCTGTATCATCATGGTATCTTACAAGGGATTATTTCTTGACAGGACATTGCATCACTATTCACTGATGTATACAGATATGTAGAACATGGAAAATTTTAAACGTATTGCCCATAAATATCAGCATGGTTTAGTTCTTAAAGACAACAACTTGCAGCATTGGCAATTGTACAGAAACGTAAAGGTAATACACTTGTTAATCTTCCTGTGACAAAGGCCACGTGTCTCTGTTTTCCATACTACTTTTTAGACGTTGACAGAGGTATTAGTGGAGCGTAGTGGGAATGATAATTCTGGGTAGAGATTATGTCTTGAGAAGACAATGACTAAAAATTCCAACCTACGTGCAAGGCAAAATTCCTTCAGGCCATCTTTAAAATAATGTTTGTTTGCCCTCTCCCGACTCAGGATGAAAAAATTGGGTTGGTAGGTAGATAAGAAAATTTTAATTTCAATGCTATTTTTTTTTAATCTTTTGTCCAGAATACATAAAAAAAATAATTGCTTCCAGGAGGTAAAAAAAAAAAGTTTTGAGTTGGACCATTTTCAGCCAGACGGTCGGGAGAGCCGAGAGGGCAACCAAATGATTTTTTAAAGATGGCCTCAGTATACAAGAAAAATCAATTTTAAAAATAGATAGATAAACCTCTAAATTTATAAAGAACACTATAAAAAAATCTTTTTAACCTGAATTTCCCCTCTTTTAACCTGAATTTCCTCGAAAATGAAAATTGGCATTTTCGACTCGTTTTTGTTACCTCGCAGGCCAATAAAAAGTACCATTTTTTCACATTTTTGTCATTATCAATTACCAAATTTTACCTAATAAAGCCAATTAGAAAACAATTTTTACACGTTCACAGATTTGTTAAATGGACTTTTGACAGACTGATTTTTTCCCCTGGTAACTAGGTGTCTATTAAAACATAAAGGCAACTTAAGTATAAAAATTCTAGTACAGACAATTGTCAGTGCTAGAATTTCATACTGAAAATGTTACATAATTAGTCCCTTTAACATAAACTGGTCAGGACGATTATGCAAAATTAAGAAAATAATTTTTTTTAAAAATTAAGAACTTTTTAACACTTAGTGCAGTACCCCCCAAAATTGAAATATTCTGCAATCTTAGACTAAAATATCATAAACCTTTAAATTTATTTACTATTTTGTACAAATTTTCAGAACGAAATAATTAAGAAAATGGATACAAATTACTAGTGCATAAAAACCTTCTTAAATGTGAAAAGTTATATTGTTTCTGTATTTCAAGAGATCTAACACAAATAAATGAGAATACAAATTTTACATTTTCAGTTTGAGGAAATTCTGTAAGAATTCATATGTCTCAGTCATGATTAAAAAATTAAGACTTTTATTCATATGGTCTTAAATTATAATGGCCTAGATATAAATATTTCCTGTTGCGTTAATCTTGACCTAGCTTATGGAATGATAAAGAATGTTTAAAAAAAACATTTAGTTTCCTGTTCGACATTTTTGGCTGTTTGTGTCAATAAAGCGTCAAATACTCAATAATCTTGATCATATCCTGTAAAGCTTTAAATCGCAATCGTTGAGTTGTGAATTTTATTTGAGTAGAGAATAATTCATTAAAAATTTATTTTTTAAACTTTACTCTTGCAAGTTGTAGCTTTTAAGCCTTGCTCAGTTGTTGTAGTACGTATCAGATCAATCAAACTTCCCTGAAAAACAGCGCCCTCAAACGAAATTACTCTAGATCATGTAGATAATCGCGATATAATCTACAGATTTTGCGCAACAGCCCTGGCAAAATCCCAATGATGGAAATTTCATAGCCGGCAAAATTTCTCGTACAGGTGGTTAATTCTGCCGGTTGCCGGCTCTTATTGAAACACTGAACAAATTGCCATAAAGCCTTCAATAGTCTCATCCAAGGGCAATATGTTGAGCCTTGATCTATTTATTAATTTACAGGTCTCGAAATTAACAGGAAATACTCGCTAAATCGAATTAGAAACAGAAATTGCGGGTTAAAGCTACCTGTGGCCACCAGCTTTTGCAAGTTAAAAAACCGTCATTTTGGGATTTTTTTCTCCTAGAGATGTTCAATAAGAATTGCCCCAAGCCCCAGACTAGGCAGACTACATTTTTGTGGGGGTTGTCCTAGTGATTTTCTTAAGAAGGTAGCCCTCGGTCTAGTACAAATTAAAATTACCCATGTAATGAAGAGCACTAAAGGTATTTTCATTCATTTTTTTTTTTTGCACTGTTAAATTCCCTAAGGCCAAGATAAATAAATAGTGCGTTTCCTATTCCAACCCATTAATAAATAGGGTAGGTAGGTAGGGAAAAAAATTTATTTTATTTTAACATTTTATTAGTTAAAATTCAACTTTGACAATAAACAAAATGAGAAAAAGAAAGAGTTCATTTCTTTTTCCCAGAAAGGGCGGCTTACTAATTGCACTTGTATAGGATATGCATTTTCTCAAACACCAGTGATCAAAATTAGGATTTCTAATAGTGAAAATGGAATTGTTTACTTCCAGAAAGATATCGGAGGATAAATTTTTCAGGGTCAGCTCATATATTTTAGGGTCAGTCGGGGAACCGGAAACACACAATTTATTTATCTAGGCCTAACAATTAAAAAATTCCAGGCAACATGCTTCTATAGCTCATAAATCTCCATAATCTTATCCAATTTGAAAATGACCGTTTTTTCCTAATCCAAATTTCCTCCATTCCTTTCTTTATGGTAAACAGGTAAATACATGTAGATATCCAACTAAATTACGTTCACTCAATCACTCAATCAGCTAGAGGAAAAGTACAAGTGTTATGTGTTTTAAAAATTATATTTACAGTACTTAATGATTCACGATGAAGAAAAAAAATTCTCCTCAATTTATAAGCTAGTGCAATGACCAGAAAAAAGGAAAATAATTTATTCAGACACTAATCACAATATCACATTTTTTGCTAGTCTTAACCTCTCCATAATAAATTAAAGACAAGTCTGTCACAGTAAACAATATATTTATATGAAAAAAATAATTATAAGATGCAAATACTTCACCTAAAGAAAAACAATTTTGAATAGTTTGTTTACCTTGGGTCTTCAAACTCTACAAAGCAAAATGGTGGACCTCTTCGCGTTTTCAAGTCGACAAACGTAATTCTCCCAAATTTGTAGAATAAATCCTCGATGTCTCTTGCTCTAATGTCGGGTGGCAAATTACCAACATAAATTCGCGAGTCATTTCCTCTTGACATGGTTAAATAAACTACAAGTTTATGCAAGGAGTTCCTTGATCTTTCTTTTGTCCGTCAAGCGTGTTCCCCAAAACGAGGCTGATCAAATCTAGTCTGCATCATCCAGACGTTTGCACTTACCTCCGTTTGTGGAAATAAATGCAAACGTCTGGATTATGCAGACAGTCAAATTGCAAGTTGGTAAAACTAGATTCTCGACTGTCCCGGATTGTGTCTTTTTAGCTCGGTTTCCAAAACGGTGTATTCATTGTATTATGTGTTCTTTTATGTGTGAATCATCCTCGATTGAAATGAAACCTGACCAAAAAAAAAAGTGAATTTAATTACAAATCTAAATAATTAAAAGTAAGTCCTATAACAAAGAAAACCCTAGATCGATCGTGAACTCTGAAGAACCATTAAGGATTTTTAATTGTTTATTGTATGTAAATGACTTATGTTTTTTTTTTAAATATTCAATATATAAAACAAAAAAAGATTAAAAAAGACTCTTGCGCGTGTATAGAAAAAGTCTATATAATCTATTTGCACTGGCGATTTTAAAATTAGGTAGGAAAACAGCGGGTGACTTAATGACCCTTTCTGCATCCATCAATATCAATCTATACAAATTTTTGTCACTGTAAATCCAATTACTGTGAAAATTTCAAAGAAAAATAAAATTCTATTCGGTTTAACTTATTCAATTTACTTATATAAACATGACTCACTCAGTTCGTCCGTTATGCTTTGGCATCCCAAGAAATCCCGTCCGATTTATCTTTGAGCTGAACGCAATACAAGTGCTATTAACGCTAATCACCGATATTCCCCTAAGAGCGATTCGAGACAATTTATGGCAGAATCTTAGAGAGGTCGATCTAAGAAAAAAAAGTTACTTTTACAAATATTTTCTTCGGGTGTCATTGAATTTATTTCCTTTAGTATGCTCAAATATTTTGCTACCACGCGTTCTTCTACTTTTTTGCATGTGGAATTTATTTCAATTTTATTTAGAATTAATTAAATTAATCTTGAAATTTAGCGATTTCTTTTTTCTTATAGTCTTAAAATATTTTTAAATCTAAGGAGAATCCTTCGTGTACAAGTCCCTCTAAGACACCGCGAGTTACCCCATACCCTGCATTTTTAACTTACTCCTTGAGAAGAAGGTAAACATGGCCTATTTACACCCTTCCTACTACGCATTCAAAGACAACATTTCTCAATATTTGAAATTTTAATTCTTTTCCCCAGACACTCTCCTTCCCATCTATGCCCTAAAATCAGCCCATTCCACCCCCGTATACATCCGAAGACATATTTATGAATAAACCCGTGTTTTTATATGGCACTACTTGGTGTAAAATTAGTAACCTGTGATATACTTATACTTTCTAACATCAAAATAAGGGTTACAGATTCAAACATTTATTCTAATTTCCTTTTAATTTTAATTTGTTTATTGTTTATTCGTTTATTTTCTATAATTAAATGTTTCATTTTGAACTCGTTATTATTATTGAGCACATAGGAAATTGACACCCCCCCCCCCCCCCCCCCCCGCAATGAAAGGTCTTATATTGTTCTCTGAAAATAAAGTTTTAAAGCTTTAATTTTAAATCTGAAAAAAATGTTGGATCCTTCCCTCAACATTGCTGACATCATTTGTCTCGCATCACTCTCATGGGTAATATAAAGATTAGCGTTAATTGCGCTTTGATTGAATCCAGTCTAAATTAAGCTACACCGGAGAAAATCAAGAGAATTTCTTCCCATGGGTACCCATCTCTCATCCGCAGCTCCGGATCCTCTTATACCAGTGAATAAAATTTAATGAGACTTTAAAAGAATCCTTGTTACATGGTGTCGTTGAGCACCTCCTATTTCACTTTTTGATCGGACACACATTTTGGGTTTCGCACAGCAAAACATAGACATTGCCATTCTTTCTATGATATATTGAGGGTACTCGTCTCTTATAATCCGAAACTCCTCCGTTGAATAAAATTTGATACTTTCACAGAATCTTTATTACATATAGTGCCATTGTGACCTCCTATTTTAAGTTTTGAACTAACAGATATTATGGCTTTCCCAAAGCAAAAAAAAGGACTTTATCATTATAATCATATGGTGGGAGGCGGGGGGGGGGGGGTATCATTTTGTGAGCTCAGTGCTCACAGTTGTCCCATGATCCACTGCACTTCGTTATTAATAAAGAAGTGCAGGGGATCATGGGACAAGGATAACAGTACCTCTACTTTTTTAATATTTTCCATATTACATCCTGTAGCCTCCAAGGAAAATAAAAAAGTATAAAATTGTCAGTGTTTCCTTGAGAAAAAAAAAATCCCCCTCGCAACGAAGTTGGAGAGGACATATTTAGGTAACGCTCGTGTGTGTGTGTGGGGGGGGGGGGGGGGGGAGTGGGTGCGTAACAAAGTTAAGCAAGTAATAATTCATATTAATTTGCGAGGTGATACTCCGCTGTGCAGTGCCCTTGTTTGTATTATTGGGAAGTTATCATATTTTCATCTGTCTTTGGCATTTCCGATCTAGTATATGCATTCAGAACACGTTTCCAGGCGCGTAGCCAGAATGGAAGTGAAGTGTACGCAGAGAACGACAGGGGGTCGGAGGGGGGGGTCCAGTTTTACAAATCAAAATTTCATAAATATATTACCAAACTACTATGATTTAACTAATGCTACAACAAAAATTTTAATAATTGAAATAAGTAGGGAACACCCCCCCCCCTTTCCGATACTACATGCCTGCTGGTGAGGGCCCAGAAGCTCCCGAGTAATAATTACCAAATTTTTCATTCATTTTCTTGCAAAATAAAAATTATGCCATTTAGTTTTTGTTTAGAAAATAAAAGTCATGGAAATATTTATTGTCTTAACGCAAAGTTAATACTTCACTGGAAACTTATTGTATATGTAGTTTAGGATAAATATTTAACCGATATAATGGTATCAAGTTCTCTTTTTTAACGTTCAAAAACACGTATACTAAATATTAATAAATCATTAACAAGAAATATCGTATTTTAAATCATATACTATATAGTAGTTCATAGCATTCAACGATGTGTTTGAAATTTAATTTCTCAAAGATCTTTCTAAAAAAATATCAATGTATTGAAGAACAATTACAAATTAATGAATGGTTTATTTGGATTTGGCAATGATTTAATAAAGGACTTCAAATTTTATTATAGAGTCATAATAACAAATTCAAATCGAAACAGTATATGACATAAAATAATTTGAAACAGGAATATTTGTTGGATGGTACTGAAATTTCTTCGAACTCTCTCTCTCTCTCTTACATAGATGTTTTTTTTCCGGAAAATGATGTGTACGCACTTGCGTATTTGCGTATAGGCAGCTACGCGCTTGCGTTTCGCACTGCGGTGGTACCATTGTTCAATAACTTGTATCTGCAAAAAAATTCTATCGACTACATTAAGCAGTAAAGAAAAAAAAATCCCGAGACTTGTTCTGATTTATATCCGATGTATCGGATGCGTAAATGATTTTAAAATCAAGATATTTGACTAAATTAATTAGACCCAACTAAAGCCACTTAAAAATCTGGAGATGCCAATCTTACAAGATCGAACTGGACAGCCCCTCCATGCACCAGTTTTGAATTGATTTTTAAAATATTTAAATCCGATGTATATATAGCATTTGTGTGTTTGAATCTACTAGTACTTTGTTTAAAAGTCAATGAAGAATGTGCATTTCTCAGACAACTAAGTGTAATAAATAGCTACATACTTGGCTTATTAAAGAACAATCCGTGGGGCATTTGGTGTTGTCCTAGCTATGAAGATTTATATGTATGCCAAGAGCATTACAGTATGTACAAAGGCGGATAAAAAGCTTACCGATGAAGTGTATATTTGCCTAGCTGTTGCCTGATAATTAATATAGTTATGCCGCAATGCATATATAACTCATATTCAATTTTCATGTCCACTGATACGTGCGTAAACAATTCTATTTTATTAACCCCTCCCCTCAAAAATATATTTAAAAAAAAAAACAACTTATTTTTAAATTGATTTAACCTTAATAACGTTAAGCTGTGCCCAGTTGTGACATAACATCTGACAGGATTATCATGAATTTTTTGTCCCCAGAATTGTAAAAACAGAGTCAAAAATTTGGTATCAAGTAGTGGAATTCACTTCCAGATAAGATAAAATCCATCAATTGTGCAACAAATCTATTGTATTACATGTATATGACTATATATAAATGTTTATAATGTACTTTCTTTTTGCCACATGAGGGCCCTTAATCATTAATGTTAATTAATTAATTAATTAATGTTAATTGGTAAATAAACAAATTGAATTGAATTGAACTGAATTGTGTGAATGTGTCAACTTAAATTACGTTCTAGGATATTGTGCCATTTCCTGAATAAACAAACAAACAAAAGTATGTACACATCGTACTACATGTACATATATTATATTTATGTGATCTTTTACAGCGTACATGTATGCACATAATATATTTTAATTTTCATCACAAGCATTAGGACTTTACTTTTTGAACTTTCAAACGGTCCATTCCTTTACCAAAAAATTTGATCCCCCACAGGGCTGAGGCAATTCACAATGCATTGTGGGTTGATATATGAAAAATTGTGCGAAATGTTTTAAACCAATGGTATTTAAAGAAAAATTCAGAGAAGCCAATCAGGTTTGAGAACTTTTGCACCGCATATATTTTAGTTGAGCGGTTACCAAGAAGGTTCATTCCCTAGATCTCTTGAATCTCTGCAGCAACCTCCCAGTTTAGGAGTAAAGGTAAGAAAAAACGATTTCTAGCATATAAAAGAATTGTTGAATTAGAAGCCGTAACTCATAAAACTTAAACACAATATTTTATATGAAGGACTGTAAGTGGACACGGTTTCTATGGCAACTAAATTGACGATAAATTTATTGACATGTCTTGGAAATTTGGATCTATATATCATATAAAGTGTATCGTTCAATAAAAAAAAATGAAATATTAAATTCCATGGGCTGGTAAAAACATTTTGCATTTTAAGTACCACTGCTGCAGGTTAAAAAAAGTTGAAGTTGAAAATGTTTTATACGTTGAAGACGTGCTTTAGAATAACATCTTTTTCTTTAAAAAATAATTTTAGCCAACCATGTCTGAAAGAAAAGCTGTCATCAAGAATGCTGACATGTCGGAGGACATGCAGCAGGATGCTGTCGACTGCGCCACAACAGCCTTGGAAAAATACAACATTGAAAAGGACATTGCAGCTTACATCAAGAAAGAGTTTGACAAAAAGTACAACCCCACATGGCACTGCATTGTTGGAAGGAACTTTGGTAGCTACGTAACCCATGAGACCAAACACTTTATCTATTTCTATTTGGGACAAGTTGCCATCCTTCTCTTCAAATCTGGTTAAACACCATGTTGAAAACTAGTTTTAACAAATTCTTTTTCAATGGGGGAACAGACTTTACACAGGAAGTTGGACAGAATTAAAGTTTGTGTGCTGGAGATTAAATTTTACAAACTCTTTACAATTCAAAGACTTTGATTTGCAAGGTTGCATTCATTTGTATACAGTTAATATTTTGTTAATTTATTTTGTATTAAAAATTTGTAAGAAGCTAGAAAATCATTGAAATTCAATGGTGGAATCTGTTACTTGTCCATTTTATTTGAAGAAGTAACAAGTTCAATAAACATTTACCCTTGTTATTATATTTTTTATATATAAATGTTTTCTTTAAATTTTGTATGTATTTGTGGTTTTGTCATACATTGCCCTGGTGGTTTGTTTGAAACAATGACCAGATTTTGCACAAGGACAAAATTCTGGGAAAATAGTGTGAGGTGTAAGTAAGAGTAATATGGATTTGGGATTCATCTTGCAAATATGAATTAGGATTCATCCTGCAAATATGAATTAGTTTTCCAAAGGATGGGTTTCCTATTCTATGTTTTGTTGGTCTTCTCTGGAATATTTGAATCCTTACTTTTCAAAAGTCAGGTCCCTTGGTCACCAACTTAGGGTGAAATATGGAAATGACGAACAGTAATCAAGCTCAAAAGTCCATAGAGAAAATACAAATCGGGAGCAGCAAACATAGACCTCTGAGAAACACCAGAGTTGGGATCAAGTGCCATGGAAGAGTAAGCATCCCCTGTAAAAATTTATAGGGTGAAAATGCATGAATTCACAGCAGTTTTTTGGTTTGTAACTTTGTTAATTAACTGGAAAAAATCTTGTATGTTGATTGCCCGAGGATGGGGCTACCCATACATTGAAAAGAAAATTGAAAATCAGACTTGCCCAAATGTTTGTTAGTGTAAAGAGGAGATATGTCATTTCTTTCCCTTTTTGGCTCACCTGAGCCGAAGGCTCAAGTGAGCTTTTCTGATCACTTTTTGTCCGGCGTCTGTCTGTGTGTAAACTTTTAATTAACATTTTCAACTTCTTCTCAAGAACCACTGGGCCAATTTCAACCAAACTTGCCACAAAGTATCCTTGGGTAAAGGGGATTCAAATTGTTCAAATGAATGGCCACGTCCTCTGTCAAGGGGAGATGATAAAGAATTGGTGAAAAATTAATAGCGTCTTTTAAAAATCTTCTTTTCAAGAACCACAGGGCCAGGAAAGATGAAACTCATGTGGAAGCATCTTCAGGTAGTGTAGATTCAAGTTTGTTCAAATCATGACCCCTGGGGGTAGAGCGGGGCCACAATGGAGGATCAAAGTTTTACATAAAAATATATAGGAAAAAGCTTTAAAAATCTTCTTCTCAAGAACAGCAAAGCCATGATGAGTCATATTTATATGGAAGCATCTTCAGGTAGTGTAGATTCAAGTTTGTTAAAATGATGATCCCCGGGGGTAGGGCGGGGCCACATTGGAGGATCAAAGTTTTACATAGAAATATATAGGAAAAATCTTTAAAAATCTTCTCAAGAACAGCAAAGCCCTGATTGGTCATATTTATATGGAAGCATCCTCAGGTAGATTCAAGTTTGTTCAAATCATGACTCCCGGGGGAAGGACAGGGCCACAATGGGGGATCAAAGTTTTACATAGAAATATATAGGAAAAATCTTTTCAAAAACAGCAAAGCCATGATGAATCATATTTATATGGAAGCATCCTTAGATACATTCAAGTTTGTTCAAATCATGACCCCTGGGGGTAGGGCGGGGCAACAATGGACTATCAAAGTTTTACATAGAAATATATAGGAAAAATCTTCTCAGGAACAGCAAAGCCCTGATTGGTCATGTTTTACATATGGAAGCATCCTCAGGTAGTGTAGATTCAAATTTATTCAAATCATGACCCCTGGGGGTAGGGTGGGGCCACAATGGGGGATCAAAGTTTTACATAGAAATATATAGGAAAAATCTTCTCAGGAACAGCAAAGCCCTGATTGATCATATTTATATGGAAGCATCCTCAGGTAGTGTAGATTCTATTACGTTCAAATCATGACCCCGGGGTAGGGTGTGGCCACAATGAAGGTTCAAAGTCTTAAATAGAAATATATAGGTAAATTTCTTCAAAGTTTTACATAGAAATATATAGGAAAAATCTTTTCAAAAACAGCAAAGCCATGATGAATCATATTTATATGGAAGCATCCTTAGATACATTCAAGTTTGTTCAAATCATGACCCCTGGGGGTAGGGCGGGGCAACAATGGACTATCAAAGTTTTACATAGAAATATATAGGAAAAATCTTCTCAGGAACAGCAAAGCCCTGATTGGTCATGTTTTACATATGGAAGCATTCTCAGGTAGTGTAGATTCAAATTTATTCAAATCATGACCCCTGGGGGTAGGGTGGGGCCACAATGGGGGATCAAAGTTTTACATAGAAATATATAGGAAAAATCTTCTCAGGAACAGCAAAGCCCTGATTGATCATATTTATATGGAAGCATCCTCAGGTAGTGTAGATTCTATTACGTTCAAATCATGACCCCGGGGTAGGGTGTGGCCACAATGAAGGTTCAAAGTCTTAAATAGAAATATATAGGTAAATTTCTTCTGAAGAACTGCAAAGCCATGATTAGTCATATTGATATGGAAGCATCCTCAGGTAGTGTAGGTAGGGTGGGGCCCAATGGGTGATCAAAAATTTTACATAAGAACATATAGAAAAAATATTTCTTCTCAAGAACAGAAAAGCTATGTTTAGTCATATTGATATGGAAGCATCCTCAGGTAGTGTAGATTCAAGATTGTTCAAATGATGACCCCTGGGATAGGGAGGAGCCACAATGGGGGATCACATTTTTACAAAGGAATATATGGAATTTTTTTTTTAATCTTCTCAAGTACAACAAAGCCATTTGTTATATTGACATGGAAGCACCAGGTAGTTAAAAATTCAAGCCCCCCCCCCCCCCCCCCCCCCCGGTAATCTTTTCAATACTGAACTGATTTGTGCTTTTGCCTAGCCAATGTGCTCAGGTGAGTGATGTGGCCCATGTGCCTCTTGTTGTTGACTCCAGATAGAAATGCCACTTTTGCTAAGTGTGGTTTGTACTATGGCTAAACCAAAGAAGATGGGCAAACAAGGTGTTTGCACAATACCTATAAAAATCGAATTCAATTTGTGAACTAAGATTAATTATGAGAAAAGTTCTAATTATTGAAAGATATGAAATTGTATCATCATCTATGGAAAAATTTGACTGAGAAAAATTATTCCTTAGTTGTCAAAAAAGGAAGATTCTCAGCTCACTTGAGCCAAAGGCTCATCAGCTAACAAAGAATGGTAGGGCCACATTGACTTGGGTGAGCATTGTGGCCCATGGGCCTCTTGTTATTCGAGGTCATGGTGCCCTTGAACTTGACTTTGGAACTTGAAAAAGAAAGGGGACCTTCCTAATATAAATTGTTGTTAATACTAGTGAAATGTACACTACCATAAAAGCATAGAGGCTTGTCTTCTTGATTGTTAAATGTAAAATATATTTAATAAAATTTTGAATCTACTTTAAATACACTTAAAAGTTGAATAAAGATCCTGACACTTTCAGTCAAGAAAAAACATGTTTTAATTAAAAAAGACGTACCACACCTATATACATAAACTCTAGAGTTTTTATGCCCCCATATTGAGATTTGGCGGTGTTAAGTTTTTGCCCTGTCTGTCAGTCTGTCTGCAAAAACTTTAACCTTGCCCATAACTTTTGACTAGTTGGAGGTATGACTTTCATATTTCACATGTGTATTCCTTGTGAAAAGACCTTTCTTTGGGTACCATCATTTTTTACCTTGACCTTGTAGTTTGACCCATTTTTTGCAAAATTTTATGAGACTTTAACCTTGGCCAATAACTTTTGAACAATTGGTGCTTGGGGTTTCAAATTTCACATGTGTATTCCTTGTGACAAAACCTTCCTTTGAATACCAACAATTTTGACCTTGATCTTGGAGTTTGACCTACTTTTGAAAAACTATAACCTTGGCCATAACTTTTGAGTGGTTGGTGCTAGGGCTTTCATATTTAACGTGTATTCCTTTTGACAAGTCCTTCCTTTGTATATTAACCACTGTGATCTTGACCTAGGAGTTTGACTTACTTTCGGGAAAACTTCAATCTTGGCTTTAACTTTTGAACGGTTGGTGCTAGGACTTTCATACTTCATATAATTATGTAATCCTTGTGACAAGACTTTCTTTTTGATACCACAATTTTAGTATTGACCTTGACCTTCGAGTTTGACCTACTTTCTAAAAACTTTAACCTTGTGAACGTTCAGTTCCAGGGCTTTACACATTTCATGAATATGTGTATCACTTGTGACAAGACCTTCCCTTGGGGCCCCATTTGACCTTGACGTTTTATTTAATTTTAAAAAACTTTAACCTTTTTCATAACTTTTGAACAGTTGGAGCTAGGGCTTTCAAATTTCACAGGTATATCCCTCGAGACAAGACCTTTTTGGGGGTACTAACATTTTTGATTTCTTGACCTGGAGTTTGACTTGTATTTGAAAAACTTTATCCTTTGCCATAACCTGCCATACGGAGGCATCAGTGTTTCACAAACACATCTTGTTTTTTGTTTGTTTTTTTTTTGGTTGTTTTTTTTAAGGGTTGTCAGATTATTTTGGGAAGTTGCCCCCCCTTTTTTTAAATTTATTTTTTTATTCTATTTTTTAAAAATTTTGCTTGTCATATTTTTTTTTTGGGGGGGGGGGGGGTGTCTCCCGCACACAACTTTTGAAACCATTGCTATGGGCCTGAGTGCATCAAAATAACACATGTTTTGCTCACCTGAGCTGAAGGTTCAAGTGAGTTTTTCTGATCACATTTTGTTCGACGTCCGTCTTTGAAGCTGCCCATCTGTCTGTATACTTTTCACATTTTCGATTCTTCTCAAGAATCACTTGGCCAAATTCAACCGAACTTGCTACAAAATATCCTTGGATAACAGGGATTCAAGTTTGTTCAAATGAAAGGCCAAACTTTCTTCTGAGGGAAGATAATTACGAATTAGTGAAAAATTAATGGCATCATTTAAAAATCTTCTCCTTCTTCTATAAAGAACCACTAAGCTAGAAAATATAAAACTTGCATGGAAGCATCCTGGGAGAAGAGAGGGCCACAAAAAGGAGAAAAGATAAAACTATGTAGAAGCTTCCTAAGGTAACTGTGTTCAAATCATTGCCGCCGGGGGTAGGGTTGGGTCACAATGGCAGGGCTCTAATTGGTGACTAATTTAGTCGCCATGGTGCCTAAAATTTTTGATTGGCACCTAAAAATTTTCCATAAGTCGCCAAATTGGTGACCATTTTTAATTGACTTGGCGATCGTCGAATTCCGGAATTTTTCACATTTTTAACAATTTTTTCTGAAAAAGCGAAAAGAAATTTATAAAAAGAGGAAATTATTTTTAGCAATGGACATGTCATGTTTTCTTAGGCACGTCATGGGTCCCTATATTCTATTAACTTTTAAAGTTGGCGCTTTAGAAAAATTGCCTGGCGACTAAAAATTTGCATTGGCGACTAAATTTTTCGGATAAGGCGCCAGCTGGCGCCTTAATTTTAGGGGCCACTTAGAGGCCTGAATGGGGAATCAAAAATTTACATTGAGGTATATTGGGAATATCTTCTCAAGAACCAATAATGGACTGGAAATGCTGAAATTTACATTAAAGCTTCCTGAGGTAGTTTAGATTGTAAATTAATTGTTCAAAACATGTCCCCTTGGAGTAAAATGGGGCCAATAGTGGATCAAAGTTTTACATTGGTATATTTACTAGGAAAAATTTTCCTCTCAAGAACCACTGGACTCAGTGTAGATTGTAAATTAATTATTCAAACCATGGTCCCCTTGGGCCCACAGTATGGAATCAAGATTTAACATAATATATAGGAAAAACCTTCAAATTTTTATGCCCCTGTATCGAAGATTCGGGGGTATATAGTTTTTGCCCTGTCCCTCCGTCTGTCTGTTTGTCTGCAAAAACTTTTACCTTGCCCATAACTTTTGACTGGTTGGAGGTATGGCTTTTAAGTTCATATTTCAAATGTGTATTCCTTGTGAAAAAGGCCTTTTTGTGGGTACCATAATATATGACCTTTTGACCTTGACCTTGGAGTTTGACCCACTTTTGCAAAATTTTATGAGACTTTAACCATGGGCATAACTTTTGAACAATTGGTGCTTGGGGTTTCAAACGTCACATGTGTATTCCTTGTGACAAGACCTTCCTTTGGATACCAACAACTTTGACCTTGACGTTTGTCCTACTTTTGAAAAACTTTAACCTTGGCCATAACTTTTGAACAGTTGGTGCTTGAGGTTTCATACTTCACATGTGTATTCCTTTTGACAAGACCTTTCTTTGGATACCAACCACTTTGACCCTTTGACCTTGACCTAGAAGTTGGATGTACTTTTGAAAAACTTTAACCTTGGCCATAACTTTTGAATGGTTGGTGCTAGGGCTTTCATACTTCACATATGTAATCCTTGTGACAAGACCTTCCTTTGGATACCAACAACTTTGTCCCTTTGACCTTGACCTTGGAGTTTGACCTACTTTTGAAAATCTTTAATCTTTGCCATACCTTTTAAACATTTGATGCTAGGGCTTTCATACTTCACATGTGCATTCCTTGGGACAAGACTTTCCTTTGGATACCAACAATTTTGACCTTGACCTTGGTGTTTGACCTAATTTTAAAAAGAAATAAAATCTTGGCCATAACATGTGAACGTTTGGTTTTAGGACTTTCATGTTTCACAAACATGTGTATCACTTTTGACAAGACCTTCCCTTGGGGCCCCATTTGACCTTGACGTTTTACTTACTTTTAAAAAACTTTAACCTTCGCCAAAACTTTTGAACAGTTGGAGCTAGGGCTTTCAAATTTCACAGGTATATTCCTCAAGACAACTCCTTTCTTTGGGGGTACCAACATTTTTGATTTCTTGACCTGGATTTTGCCTTGCATTTGAGTTAAACCTTCGCCATAAGCTGCCATATGGGGGCATGAGTGTTTCACAAACACATCTTTTTTTTTTTAAACGACAGAGAGAAGATAGGGCATTCATGTTTCACATGTGCATTACCAGTGACCCTCCCAAATGTACTATGATTTTTGACCCCATGAACTTATACTTTAAAGTTTGACTTACTTTAAAAAATTTTTAAAAATGGTGATAACTTTTGAATGAGGAAAAACAGGACATTCATATTTCACATGGACCTTTCTAGATGTACTATGATTTTTGACCTCATGGCCTTAACTTTAAAGTTTAACTTACTTTTCAAAATTTTTAAAATTTGTCATGTACCCTTGCATAACCTGTGACAAATTAACCTTTTAGAAAGAACTATCATTTTTGACTTCACCTTGACCTAGACGTTTGACCTACTGATCAAAATTTTTAACTTTGGTTGTAATTTTTGCACCAGAAGAGACAGGGCTTTAATAGCAAGTGCAGAAAGCGACACAAAGTGTTTGTTCAAAGCATAAACTAAGAATTCAGGTTATTTATACATCAAATATAGAAATTACAAGCAAATTCAAACTTCCAAGATCAAGGTATGGAGGTCAAATATCACAATGCACAATACACACAGGCCTTGTCACAAGTAATGTACATCTGGGAAAAAAATGGTGTATTGTGATATTTGACCTCCAGGCCTTGATCTTAGAAGTTTGATGCAGTTTTCAGAAACTTTAATCTTGGCTGTAACTTTAATTCATAATTTAAATCTTTCTTTGTATGATGGACAGACAAGACAGAACACAGAAACAAGACAGTACAAAATGCCATATATAATTGCATGCCAATCAATAAGACTTAAAAAGCAGAAGACCACAATTCTTTGAATTTGCTGTTGGTTTTGCTTTCTTTCATTTTTGTTTTGACAATTCTTGATTATAGTTTTAATATCGTTTAATGATTTAATACATCAATGTGACAAATTTCTTGTTTAAAGGATTTGTTTTAGTTCTTGAAGTGCAAGGATGCATATCATTCAAATACATTCGAAATTTGTAGTTTATGCATTTTCAGGGACAAAAGTTACTAAACACTTACAAATTTTAAGTTATAAGTTACAATGTATCAGTCAGAGTCTAAAAACACTCTCACAACATGTAAGACATGGATTTCTACTGAAACTTTTGATGGATATAAACTTCAAAATTGGGTCCATGTCCCCTTGCACTCTCTACCATTGGCTCATACATGGAGGAATGAACAACAACTTTGCATATTAATCAATCAATCCCCTTGAAAGAAGGTGTGGTGCTTCACTTGAATAAACATGAATCCCTTCAACCAAGGATGCTTTGTGGTATGTTTGATTGAAATTGACCAAGTGGTTCTTGAGAAGAAGTCCAAAATGTTTAAAGAAAAATGCTGTACAGAATTTGATCCAAAAAGCTCACTTGAGCTTTCAATTAAGACACATGGCTGTAAAAATAATCATTTTTTTTTATTAGAATCTTTCATCATGTACTAAAATAAATAAAGACATAGATTGCAAGTAATTAATATACACAATTATTTTAACTTTTAATTAATTTATATCCAGAGTGAACAGCAGATATACCAAATGTTAAATTTTCATAAGACACAATTCCAAATCCTGCATGTTGAAGCATAGCTGCAAATCTTCTCTGAAAAAAAAAAGTTACCATATATGAGCTCACAAAATTACTGTATACAGGAAAATTTTCACCTCTGTTTTATTTTTGCCCCTTTCGCCCTAGACACAAGAGGGTGAATTTAAGACAGTGCCCATTCAAAGAAAATAGTACATGTATAATTTCTTAAACAGAACCGTGACTGAGCGAATTTAAAACAGTGCTACACCCCATGTTTTTTTTTTCATACAAAGTTCTAGGCATTAATTCCCCTGCTTAAAACTGAAAATAAAAATATATCTACTACACTATAAAAATGTTTAAAGTACAGTAGATATATTTTTTATTTACAAATTAAGCTTGGGAATGCCAATGGATTACTGCAGTCAAAATCTTGAATATAATAATGTTTCATCCTTAAAGTCAACTATACCTGATTGGGAAACTGTCTTATACTCTCTACAAGATACTGATAAGATTTCCAGTCTTTAGCCAGCACCTGTCCCATTACTGGTATGACCTCAAATGAGTAGGAATCATATAACCTGAAATTAGGATTCACTTAAAATTAACATGATTTTAGGAACGATTTTTCTTATATATTCCTATGCAAAACTTTGATCTCCTATTGTGGCCCCACCCTACCCACTTGGGGCCTTTTGAATAAATCTACTCTACACTATCTAAGGATGCTTCCATACAAATATGACTAATCATGGCTTTGCTATTCGTGAGGTTTTTATAGATATTTTAATTCTCTATTGTGGACCCACCCCACTCCACTTATGATTGAACAAATTTGAATCTACACTATGTAATGAAGCTTTCATATAAGTTTTTTTTTTGTCCCAGTGGTTCTTGAGAAAGTTTTTAAAAGATGCCATTAAATTTTCACAAATTCTTAATTATCTCCCCTTGAAAGAGGGTGTGGCTCTTCATTTAAAAAATCCCCTTTACCCATAGATACTTTGTGACAAGTTTGATTGAAAATGGCCAAGTGGTTCTTGAGAAGAAGTCAAAAATGTGTAAAGTTTACAGACAGATAGCTGGACAGACAGATGAGTGCCAGACAAATTGTGATCAGAAAAGTTCACATGCATGAGCTTTCAGCTCAGGTGAGCTAAAAATGATGTAGAAACATCTACATAAACACACTCTGCAATAAAATTATGTTATGATTTTCTTTAAAAAGGAATTATCTTTTAAGATATATATCCATGATAAATAATGAGGTCAATGTCCTTGGGCAACCAAAATTTTACTGGGGATGTTATTTAGTGCTCAAAAAGTATTAAGCAACATGCTGCCAAAGTAATCAATTGTAGGGATGAAAATGTGTGGGAAATAGTGACCCATAAAATCTGCATTGGTCCTCCACCCACAATAAAGATTTCACAGTATTTTGAGCAGTGTTTGAAACTCATAGTAGAACTAGTATTAATTGTAACGGGGACCGTTACAGATGTTCCCCAAACGCTCCCCAACTCCCTTTTGGTGTCTTATTTCCTGTAAGCTTCATTAAATAAGGCAATTAAGTATATTGGTCATTTAACGCATTTCACGCGCGCGCACATGCATGCATGTGCAGGTTGACCATGTCATTCCGTCTATACTATAAATGCATCTTTATATTCTCAGTGTCAAAACATTTCATCAAAAAATATATAAGTTCCGGCTATAACAAGTATATTGGTCATCTTAGCATTGCGCGCACGCGCACCTGTATGCATGTTCATAATGACCATGCCATTTTGTCTACACTTATAATATGTCTGTTTATTCTTAGTATCAAAGCTTTTCATCAAAAAATATAAAAGTTACGGCTATATTAAGTATATTGGTCATTAAACACATTGCACGCGCGCACATGTGCATGCATGTGCATGATGGCCACATCATCCTGTCTACACTTTTAATATATCTGTATATTTTTAATATCAAAGCTTTTCATCAAAAAATATAAAAAGTACGGCTATATTAAGTAAATTGGTCATTTAACACATTGCACGCGCGCGCACGTGCATGCATATGCATGCATGTGCATGATGATCATGTCGTCTTGTCTACACTTTAAATACATATAAATATTTTGAGTATCAAAGCATTTCATCAAAAAATTTCAAAGTTACGACTATATCAAGTAAATTGGTCATTTTACGCTTTGCGCGTGCGCGCACGTGCATGCATGTGCATGTTGACCATGTCATCTTGTTCATACTTTTAATATATCCTTATATTCTGAGTATCAAAGCATTTTATCAAAAAATATAAAAGTTACAGCTATATCAAGTATATTGGTCATTTTACGCATTGCACGCGCACGCACGTGCATGCGCGTGCGCGCAAAATGACCTTCGTTCCGCAAATCTACATAACATGCCTAGTAACCCTAAAAAGGTTTCACCTCAATCGGATGTGTAGTTTCGGAGATCACTCACGGACAAAAAAGTACCCAGGAAGAAAAATAATAATAATAATAATAACTAGATGAGATCTCGTTGCGAGCAACGAGTAGGTCTTCCGTCCGATTTCTCGATAAGATGAGATATGATTTTGATTATGATCTTTGTTAAAAGATAATAATATATAGACTTCCCCAATTAGATTTTATTCTTTTGATTTATATACCATTATCAAAGAGCTATAGATGACATTCTTTTGGCCCCTCTGAGCCCCTAGTTTAAGGAGTCAGCCCCTTTTTCTTGATATCAATTGAAAGGTCTTGTGATTTTGGAAACGATTTTTCAAGAAATATTCAAAGATTTCCTTTCGTTGTGGAGATATGCTGAATGGAAATATTTAGGGGTCACTCCTCCAAGTCCTTAATCGGGCCGTTTGACAAAAAAATGAAAGGAAGCATATTGTTTAGAACATTATTCTGACCATCTTTTGTTCAGTATTGCTTATCAAAATATTCTTCCTTTTCGAGATATAAAGCGTCAAAGATTTAGCATTCTGGCCCCTTGTGACCCCTTATTACGTAACATATGATCAGAATCTTATCATATATTGTTGTAAATCGTTAAGATAAACATCTTTGCTTCAGTAATGTATTACAAATTATTGATGGTTAAAGAGTTATAAATGAAAGATTTTGGCCCCTCTCAGCCCCTAATTTGAAGGGTCTGCCCCTTTTTCTTGATATCAAATGAAAGGTCTTGTGATTTTGAAGACTTTTTGTTCAACAACTATTCAGAGATTTCTTTTCGTTGTGGAGATATGCTGAATGGAAATATTTAGGGGCCACCCCTCCAGGTCCTTAATGGGGCCGTCTGACAAAAATTGAAAGAGTGCATGTTGTTTAGAACATTATTCTGACCATCTTTTGTTCAGTATTTCTTATCAAAATATTCTTCCTTTTCGAAATATAAAGCGTCAAAGATTTTGCATTCTGGCCCCTTATGACCCCTTATTACGTAACATATGATCAGAATCTTATCATATATTGTTGTAAATCGTTAAGATAAACATTTTTGCTTCAGTAATGTATTACAAATTATTGATGGTTAAAGAGTTATAGATGAAAGACTTTTGGCCCCTCTCAGCCCCTAATTTGAGGGGTCAGTCCCTTTTTCTTGATATCAAATGAAAGGTCTTGTGATTTTGAATAGTTTTTGTTCAACAACTATTCAGAGATTTCTTTTCGTTGTGGAGATATGCTGAATGGAAATATTTAGGGGCCACCCCTTCAGGTCCTTAATGGGGGCGTCTGACAAAAATTGAAAGAGTGCATGTTGTTTAGAACATTATTCTGACTATCTTTTGTTTAGTATTCCTTATCGAAATATTCCCCCTTTTCGAGATATAAAGCGTCAAAGATTTAGCATTCTGGCCCCTTGTGACCCCTTATAACGTAACGCATGATCAGTATCTTATCATATATTGTTGTAAATCGTTAAGATAAGCATCTTTGCTTCAGTAATGTATTACAAATTATTGATCGTTAAAGATGAAAGACTTTTGGCCCCTCTGAGCCCCTAATTTGAGGAGTCAGCTCCTTTTTCTTGATATCAAATGAAAGGTCTTGTGATTTTGAAGACTTTTTGTTCAACAACTATTCAGAAATTTGTTTTCGTTTAAGAGATATGCTGAATTGATATATATAGGGACCAGCCCTTCAAGTCCTTAATGTGGCCGTTTTGCAAAAATTGAAAGGTTGCATATTGTTTAAAACATTATTCTGAACATCTTTTGTTCAATATTGCTTTTCAAAATATTCCCCCTTTTTGAGATATAAAGCATCAAAGATTTAGCATTCTGGCCCCTTTTGGCCCCTTATTACGTAACATATGATCAAAATTTTAAAACATGTAGTTGCAAATTGTTGAGATGAACATTTTTGCTTCAGTAATTTATAACAAAATATTGATCGTTCAAAAGTTATACATGACAGACTTTTGGCCCCCCTGAGCCCCTAATTTGAGGGATCAGCCCTTTTTTCTTGATATCAATTGAAAGGTGTTGTGATTTTGAAGATTTTTTGTTCAGAAACTACTCAGAAATCTATTTTCGTTTTCGAGATATGCTGAATTGAAATATTTAGGGGCTAGGCCTTCAAGTCCTTACTGGGGCCGTTTTGCAAAAATTGAAAGGTTGCATATTGTTAAGAACATTATTCTGAACATCTTTTGTTCAATATTGCTTTTCAAAATATTCCCCCGTTTTAAGATATAAAGCGTCAAAGATTTATCATTCTGGCCCCTTTTGGCCCCTTATTACGTAACATATGATCAAAATTTTAAACCATATAGTTGCAAATCGATAAGATAAACATTTTTGCTTCAGTAATTTATAACAAAATATTGATCGTTCAAAAGTTATACATAACAGACTTTTGGCCCCTCTGACCCCCTAATTTGAGGGATCAGCCCTTTTTTCTTGATACCAAATGAAAGATCTTATCATTTCACACATCTTTTGTAATACATGTTTTAACAAAATATTTACAGGTAAAAAGATATAAAAGAAAACGTGTCAAATTTTGCGAGATGTTTGTGAGCCTATTTTTCGAGCCCAGGCGAGCTTCAACGCCATTTGAGCTGGAAAGATATAGATGCCCAATTGCACATCTACAATATTTCCTCTATCTTCACTGAAAATCTTAACTCAATAGCTTTAGTCGTTTAGGAGGAGTTTCCAGGACAAGCCGACCCTCTGAAAATCAGAAAATCGTCAATATCTCACGACCGGAAGTGACGTCATCAGAAAGCAAAAAAACCTATCAAGATCGATAGAATATCTTTTATATCTGAAAGTTTGATGTAAATCGGCCAAGCCGTTTCTGAGAAATCGCGTGCACAAAATCGGTTGGAAGAAAAATAATAATAATAATATCTAGATGAGATCTCGTTGCGAGCAACGAGTAGGTCTTCCGTCCAATTTCTCGATAAGATGAGATATTATTTTGACTATGATCTTTTTCAAAAGATAATAATATATAGACTTCCCTAATTAGATTTCATTCTTTTGATTTATATAACATTATCAAAGAGCTATAGATGACATGCTTTTGGCCCCTCTGAGCCCCTAGTTTGAGGGGTCAGCC